ATTTTCACTTGTTGCAGCTTGGTGTCCAGGCCTTTGCTACCCTGTGCAACTTCTTCCTCTTGGGCTGCATCCTGTAGAGTGAAAGCAGATGCACCATAATTTGGTCAGATGAGGATTAGCACCAGTTTCTGTCCAGACTCTTGGTAGCAAATTTGGTTAACCCACGCAAGTGTGAGCATTACAGTAACTCAGAGACTATGAATTGCATCGCATACTGCTTTAGCTCCTCATCCGGGGCATCCTATGCATGGTGCCCTGTGTCCTCGATAGGAGATTAAGGAAGATGGATTATGAAGGATGAATGGATGTTAAGATATCAGGGTATGTTACTTTATATGTTGCATACACATTTTCTTGCATGAACACACTTGAGTTCTGTTGCTTTGCTTTTGGCTGTCATCCTCATTTTCTATGCCAAGACATTCTTGTTGAAATACTGTATTGTCATTAAAATTGTCAGGCTAAATCCTGATAAAGCAGTTGAGAGACGTAGAAATGGAATGCTGCCCGTAACCCGACAGAGGAGTCACATGAATTACGAGTAACAGACAAGCTGCAGGCATTCCCACATCTGTCTCCATCTAACATCATCAATTAAATTAATTAAATGTGGGTGATACAGGAAGGTTGTCTCAAAAGAGGATTGTTATTGTCTGTTTCGAATATATAAAAGTAAATATTTGAAAGTACCCGTATATGTTTGTTTTTGAATGTTTTTCTGTCTCTAATCCAATTTTCAGGGTATGAGTTGTACTTTAAATATTTAAAGTGGTCATTGTAGAAAATATTCCTGTGTAACAAACATGACAAATACATCATCATGCAATCATGTGGTGAAAATAGACAAAAGTAATAGTAACGTTTCCTCTTTCTGACCTACGAGTAACAGTATGGCAAGAAAAATAAACATTTATTCTGTCTTTGGGTATTGGATTGCTTCTGTTCTGGAAAAACAGCTTCTGGGTCTGTCTAGGCTGCACCCTACAGGAAAACAGCACACTATGCCAAGAAAAACTACTTTCTGTTTTTTATATTCTCTTGTTTGAAATGGTTTCAAGTTTCATAACAATTTAGTAGCATGGTGTAAATATGTGCCAAAGCTGCAAAGGAGGTATGCATGACCCCTGACCACGTCGTTTTTGACCCACAAACAGAAAAATCAGTAGGTAACTGATTGCAAATGTGAACACAGGATCATGTATCCTAATTAAATTCTAACAACTCCTTTCTATTTAACAAGTAATCCATCGTAAGCCTGTAAGTAATCAGTGTTTAAAATAATTCTACAACATAATATCCATTACCCATGGTCTGGTAAGGGAATAATGGAGAGTCGATTTCCCATCACTTACAAATTTTAAATACACTGCTCAAAAAAATTAAAGGAACGCTTATTAATCAGAGTATAGCATCAAGTAAACTAAACTTCTTGGATATTCATCTGGTCAGTTAAGTAGCAGAGGGGGTTGTTAATCAGTTTCAGCTGCTTTGGTGTTAAGGAAATTAACAACAGGTGTACTAGAGGGGCAACAATGAGACGACCCCCAAAACAGGAATGGTTTAACAGGTGGGGGCCACTGACATTTTTCCGTCCTAATCTCTTCTGACTGTTTTTTCACTAGTATTGCATTTGGCTGCGGTCAGTGTCACTACTGGTAGCATGAGGTGATACCTGGACCCTACAGAGGTTGCACAGGTAGTCCGACTCCTCCAGGATGGTGCATATTCATGTGTCATTGCCAAAGGTTTGCTGTGTCTTCCAGCACAGTCTCAAGGGCATGGAGGAGATTCCATGAGACAGGCAGTTACTCTAGGAGAGATGGACAGGGCCATAGAAGGTCCTTAACCCATCACCAGGATTGGTATCTGCTCCTTTGTGCAAGGAGGAACAGGATGAGCACTGCCAGAGCCCTACAAAATGACCTCCAGCTGGCCACTGGTGTGCATGTCTCTGACCAAACAATCAGAAACAGACTTCATGAGGGTGGCCTGAGGGCCCGACATCCTCTAGTGGGCCCTGTGCTCACTGCCCAGGACCGTGGAGCTCGATTGGCATTTGCCATAGAATACCAGAATTGGCAGGTCCGTCACTGGTGCCCTGTGCCTTTCACAGATGAGAGCAGGTTCACCTTGAGCACATGTGACAGACGTGAAAGGGTCTGGAGAAGCTGCGGAGAACATTATGCTGCCTGTAACATTGTTCAGCATGGCCGGTTTGGTGGTGGGTCAGTGATGGTCTGGGGAGGCATATCCATGGAGGGACACACAGACCTCTACAGGCTAGACAACGGCACCTTGATTGCCATTAGGTATCAGGATGAAATCCTTGGACCCATTGACCCCCAGGACACCATCCATCATCTCATTAGAAGGATGCCCTGACATTGTTAGACATGCATACACGCGGGGGCCATATAAACTACTGAGTATGATTTTGAGTCATTTTTTCACTTAGAATTTTTTTAATTCAGCCCTCTGTAGGTTGATAATTTTAATTTCCATCAAACGATGTGGCATCTCTTTGTTCCTAACACATTACCCAGTCCATATCAGTATAGATATCTAGCATGACTTTTTTTCCCATTGAGATCTGATGTGTTTCCAAAGTGTTCCTTTAATTTTTTTGAGCAGTGTATATCTCTATCAGCATTAATTTACTTTAATAAATAGGGGATAACTTACTCTGAAGTAAATGAACTGCACAATTAAAAATGCATCTACAAAGTTGAGTCATACTAGATTGAATGCCAATTAGCTATAAAAGAGGTCTGACAATCAGCTCTCTGATACACTATACGGATAAGTATTTGGACGCACCTCTTAATTATTGACTTCAGGTGATTCATTCAGACCCATTGCCACAGGTGTATAAAATCAAGCACCTAGCCATGCAGTCTGGTTCGTAAGCATTTGTGAAAGAATGGGTCACTCTGAAAAGCTCAGTGAATTCAAGTGTGGTACTGTCATAGGATGTCACCTTTGCAATAAGTCAGTTTGAGAAATTTCTTCCCTGCTAGATATTCCACAGTCAACTTTTAGTGTTATTAACAACAGAAACTCAGCCATGAGGCAGACCATGTAATATAACAGAGCGGGGTCACCAAGTGCTGAGGTGCATAGTGTGCAAAAATCACAAGCCGAGCAGCTTCATGGAATGGGCTTCCATGGCCGAGCAGCTTCATGGAATGGGCTTACCTGGCCTGACATTACCAAGCAGAATGTCAAGCGTCAGATGGAGTGGTGTAAGGCACTGGACTTTAGAGCAGTGAAATGGATTCTGTTAAGTTCTGTAATAAATCACATTTCTCTGTCCGGTAGCCTGATGGATGAGTCTGGGTTTGGCAGATGGCAGGAGAATGTTACTTGTCTGACTGCATTGTGGCAGAGGGATAATGGTATGGGAGTGTTTTTCTGGGATTGGGTTAGGCCCCGTAGTTCCAGTAAAGGGAACTCTTAATGCTTCAGCATACCAAGACATTTTGGACGATTCTATGCTTCCAACTTTGTGGGAACAGTTTGGGGAAGACCTTTTCCTGAAGAAGAACCAAATATGCATGAGTAGCCCACTTACCGCATGTTTCTTGGCAGTCCTGCTTGGTCTGGAAGTTGTTCCCGTTTCCCCTGCAGCCTGTGTAGATGAACCTTCCAGCATGACTATGCCATCGTGCGCAAAGCAAGCTCCATAAAGACATGATTGGGTGAATTTGATGTGGAAGAACTTGACTGACTCGCACTGACCCCTGACCTCAACCCATCAAACACCTTTGGGATGAAATAGAACGGAGATTTCCAGCCAACATTGGTGTTCAACATAAGTGCCTAACCTCACAAATGCTCTTCTGGATGAATAGGCAAAAATTCCCACAGACACACTCCATAAGCTTGCGAGAAGCCTTTCCAGAAGAGTGGCAGCTGTTATATTGGACCAATCCAATATTGATGTATTTAGAGTGGGTTGTCACAAAAGTTCCTGTAGGTATAATGACCAGGTGTCGCAATACTTTTGTCCATATTCTATATGCGAGTCCTCAAAGCAGGAGGAGGCAAAGGACAGAGTGCCATAGTGGCCAAACAGCTGATGCCCAAGTTGTAGGTGCATTGGTCACAAAAACCAGCAACATTAAGGGGGATACACTTCAAAAATCAGCAAATGCTGACCGTGTTGATGGAGTGGAGCAGTGGTCGCAAGCCGAAGATGCCAAACAAATAAAATTTGCGGAGCATAAAGCCAAATGCCATTCAATCCACACTGTGATTAGGGCAAGTTCAGACACAGATAGTGGCTGAAGAAGCGATGAGAAGAGGAATTAAGGGAGCCTTTTACATTTACCAGCAGTATCTAAGGCAGTGTACTTTAGACTCATACTTTTCTAATAACAGAGGAGGAAAACAATGAATGATGTGATGAAGTTTTGACATTTCCCACCCCAGACTAAGCAGACTGTTATCTTAAAACATCCCTTCATCACATAATGTACTAATTTTGCTCCATTTATTCCGACTTGTACCCACTTGTTATTGTTTCTCCTCAGATTTTTACCCTACAGCACTTTCTGTGGTTAAATATATATCACTCTGCACTTCCTTTGACAACTAACCATTAAGTTTTTAGCCATTTTTCTAACAAACATTTCTCAAAACTGTAACCGCACAGGGGTCTATTTCTTCATTTTATAAAATCAAAAGGACATTGTCATTAGTTTTTGGGTTATTGACTTATTATTCTCACTCATGGTAGCTATGTAACTATAACCTGTCGATACAGTTGTCCACATAACTATAGTGGCCAGTCAATTACATTGAGGCACTAATAAATATATAATGATGTGAGAGAGACCGAGATTCCAGGAAAAAATCATGAAGTTTACATGGGTTGAAAAGAAAAATTTATTGCGGCACTCCCCAATTACTCCACCATTGCAAAATACTGATTGTTTGCATTCTGTGATTTCTTTAACGTGACAGCAATCTCTTTATGGGAGTCTACCCACAAATGAAATGAGAGCTGAGCAGATGAGCCCTAGGGTGTGAGGGCGTCCCTAAGTGGAGGTATAAGAGTTCATCTGTTCCGGTTTCCCTTATACTTTCAACATGGATCTTAAACTCGTCGGCCTGCTCCTGGTCCTGTGTGCCTCTATTGGCACCATCAAAGGTACGATTCCACTGCAGTCGTATGGGGAAGGACAACTACTGCAATATTTCTTTTTTGCATTAAGCAAATTGAACCATCAATCATTTCCTCAAGATTTAAATATTTTTAAATAAAAACATATAGATATGCAAATAAAAATTAGTTTTAAAATCTACACTATTTAAGGACTAAACTGGAAACTTAGACCCTCCATTTTGGTCTATAACTACATCATATAGTAATGAGCAGGAATATGAAGCATAGAACTAAAACCAAAACTAAAACTGCCTAAAGTATTTGCTGAGTACATTTATGATTTATTACATTAATGGTATGATCCCGTGTTCATTCATCATTAATGAATCATGATGGTTCATGTATTTTATGCAAGAACTGCATTAGTTCATGATCTGTTCTTGAGTAGTAACTGGGTAACTAAGTTATTTGTGCCACCTTGAGTAAAGTGTTACCAAAAAAACCTTTCAACAGATCATACAGATAGAGCACTTAGCTGTTAGATATACTGTAAAGATAATTTTCTTGTAGGGAATAATACAGTTTAAGGTGCAAAGAACTGCAACATATCGGACAGTGCAATGTACATATAAGAATGCATTACTCGGTAATGCGACAGCGTGTAACAGAACACAGAATAAATGCATATGGATGGTACATATAATGTATGAATGCAAACGCAGTGTTGACACTATGCTCAATGTTAATTGTCATTACTATTGTCTGTGGACATGGGGAGGTGGAGATGATGGAGGAGCACATTACTACAGTCGAATGGTAGCAGGCAGTAATAAAATTCCTGATAGTACGTAGTAGGGCACTGTGGTGAAGTAGTCCAATAGCTAAAAGTGCCCCAAGACAGAGTCACAGAAGGGGTGGGCAGGGTCGTTTATAATAGTCTGTCAACATGCAAATACTCATCTACAAACTTATTGCAGTTTTAAGATGTGCTGAGTATATGTAGTGTTCCTTCCAGGAAATCAGGAGTGGTTAGGAAGGTTTACAGGAAGCTGGGTTTAGCAGTGCTCAGTTCTTTAAAATGAAACCATTATCTGGCAGTTGCAGTTTTTGACTGGCATTGCCTAAGGTTGCGCAGTCAAATAATTGCCAGATGATATAAAAGAATGTATTATTGTGTCATTTTTATTTCTCAGTGATTTCTTCTGTCACAGCTACAAGTTCATGTGTCACATTAAAAACCATAAATTTTATTAAGTCAGGCATAAAATGTCAGTCTTGGGGCAAGTACATTCACCATTTACTGTGCTATATTTATTGTCATAAATGAGGAACAGAAATCAATACATACAAACAGATGCAAAGAAACTGAAAATATATGTGAAGAAGTGAATTGACAACTTTGAAATACATAAAGGATTTTCAAGTCTTTTGTAGAATTCCTTATCCATTGTTTAACTCCGCATCGGTGTCGTACCCCAGCTTCTCGTTAAGACAGTGATGTCATACCCCTGTACAGGTGCCTTCCCTACCTGCTGTTTGAATGTATCCCCAAAATTCTCCAAGGAGTTGCTGAACCAGGTGAAGAAATTTACCTACCAGAAACCCAGTGCATCCTGTGAAGTTGAAGCTGTTGTGTGAGTACTAATGACATACAAATACAACAATATAATGAAATAATTATATCACGCAGAACATAATACATAATGGACTCATTCAGTTGTAGAGATAGAGGTGGCAGAGTTATGACAAAGGATCACTTGATACTTGGCCTTCTGATTATCTGTCTATCAGAAGTCCTCCATTCCTTCTGATCTGCAAATCTCCCTTTGATCCCTTTTTTCTAGACTGCATTTGAAAAACAACAAAAAGATCTGCGTTGCACCAAGGGTGTTGTCCCGCCTGAAAAGGAACAACATATTGCAATCGATACGCAGAGCGTATGGATCCTGAAGTAAAGACTTTTGTCCAGATGGTGCCACGTGTGGGGAGAGAAGGGACACCATTGTTGTACCTGAGCACTTTTCATGGCTGTTGAGATATCTATGGGTTGTTTGGTGGTTCATGTGCTATTCTTTTTTTTTTCCATTCATCTGCATCAATTCCTTTTTGTTGAAATGAACAGCATTTTCATCTTGTTGCAGTAAAGTTTCAGGAAGGTCTTCTATCTAAAGATTTTTTGGTTGAAAATGAAAATGTTTAATGTATGTAGCATGTGGATACTCTCTGAATAAAAGCATATTAATCCTAACAAATAATGCAGATGTTGATGATATTTAGAAACATACCTTTTATGAATGATATTCAGAAACACACCTTCTATAATGTGTCCTGCTTAGGTATCAGTGTCTCACAGGGCATGTACTTGCATCTCCACCATTGCCCCCTGTGCTTTTCATTTAATAGTAGTTTTCTTTTATTTTCATGTCTTCTTTTGTATCTTCTTGTTTCAGTTTACAAAAATGTTCTCTTATGGTTTTAGTTTTGGTTAATAACTTTGCCGGAACACAGATAGGGAACTTCCCAGGAAATTACAGTTATGTTCAAAATAATAGCCGTGCATCTAAAAAAGTGAATAAAGCTGAAAATCCTTATAATAGTTTTTATTTCCATACACGCAAATGCTTTGGGAAGACTACAAATTCTACTCAAAATCGAAACAAGAAGAGAACTGTATCACATTTGTGTTACTCCTTTACAGAAAGTGAAGGAAAGGGAATATTAGGCTGTTCAAAAAAATAGCAGTGTCCACATTCTTCTTTAAAAACTCAAAGATTCATTGCATGAACTGAAAGATTTTGCTTTCCTTTGAATCATTGAACTAATATTTAATTGTATAACAACTGTTTCTGAGAAATGCTGCACATCTGTGTTGCATGGAGTCGACCAACTTCTGGCACCTGTGAACAGGTATTCCATCCCATGATGATTGGACTACATTTCTTGGTTTTGCCTCAGAAACAGCATTTTTGATGTCACCCCACAAGTTTTCTATTGGATCAAGGTCCGGGGATTGGGCTGGCCACTCCATAAAGTCAATCTTCTTGGTCTGGAACCAAGATGTTGCTCATGTGTTCGGGGTTGTTTTCTTGTTGAAACACCCATTTCAAAGGCATTTCCTCTTCAGCATAAGGCAACATGACCTCTTCAAGTATTTTGAGGTATTCAAACTGATCCATGATCCCCGGTATGCGATAAATAGGCCCGACACCGTAGTATGAGAAACATCTCCATAACATGATGCTTGCACCACCATGCTTCACTGTCTTCACAGTGTACTGTGGCTTGAATTCAGTGTTTGGTGGTCATTTGACAAACTGTCTGCAGCCACTAGACCCAAAAAGAACAATCTTGCCTCCATCAGTCCACAAAATGTTGCGGCGTTTCTCTTTAGGCCAGTCAATGTGTTCTTTGGCAAATTGAAACCTCTTCAGCTCATGTCTTTTTCAGCAATGGGACTTTGCGGGGGCTTTTTGCGGATAGCTTGGCTTCATATAGGCATCATCTGATTGTAACAGTACTCACAGGTAACTTTAGACCTTCTTTGATCTTCCTGGAGATGATCATTGGCTGAGTCTTTGCCATTTTGGCTATTCTTCGATCCATTCGAATGGTAGTTTTTTGTTTTCTTCCACGTCTTTTAGGTTTTGGTTGCCATTTTAAAGCATTTGTGATCATTTTAGCTGAGCAGCCTATCATTTTCTGCACTTCTTTATATGTTTTCCCAATCAACTTTTTAATCAAGGTACGCTGTTCTTCTGAACAATGTCAGGAATTACCCATTTTACTCAGAATTTCAGAGAGAAATTCTGAGTAAAATATGCATATGGATGGGCATATGCACTATAACCAGCATGTACAACATTTGCTGCCTTCCTTCCTTAAATAAGGCCCATAATTGGCACCTACTTTTTCACAGAATGAATGACCTCACTAATTGAACGTCACACTGCTATTATTTTGAACACAAGCCCCTTTCAAGTAATGATTCTGTTACACATAATCAGCAGCATGCATGTCATGACTGTTGGGTCTGTTGGTTTTCCATTACTCTACTACACCTACTAGTAAATTATTTGCCATGTAGAAATATAATTTCTACCAATAATGGTGATTGATCAGGTTAGTCATGTCGGACTGCTATTATTTTGAACACAACTGTATATGCACAATTTCAGACTGTCATCCCAATTCAAAACTTTCGGACACCTAACAGGTGTAAAAATGCAATATAAGCAGTGAGTGTGGTGTACAGTATATAGGCCTACAGAGGGGGGTTAGAAGGCAGAAAACCACAATGTAACCCACCCAGGTCAGTATAATCTACTGAAGGGGACCACAGCCTTGTGTGGCTGATGAAATTTGGACTGCAGGGGAAAATATTATTATCAATATATTCCACAGTATATGAATACTGCTACATAGGAGTGAAATTATGGAAAAATAATTATTGCATGCAATTTAGATTATCAGTAAATTGAACTAGCCAGGCAATTATAATAGTTGCTACTGTGAACAGTTTTTTTTGGAGTGAATCCATTATGAATAACTACTGCTTCAATCAATCACAGAGATCTTAAAGTACAATATTTAAATGTCCATGTATATATAAATACTGCAGGTTTCTTTTTCTCAGTATGTCTGGCATGCACACACACACACAGTCAAAGACACAAGTTTTAATCACGTTATGGGGACATCTGGTTTCCACAATGTGATAAATGCAAACGCACACAAACAAGCATACCTATCAGCATATCAACAAATCTTTTGGATGGTGAAAGGAAACTTCCCAAAGCAAGCATGCATAGATGTGTGATGATACATGAAGACCACACAGATACAGGATCTGGGCCAGATTCAGAGCTACAGCCTTGGAGCAATGAAGTGGCTTTGCAGGTTCTACAGTCACCAAGTAAAGATACCTACAGTATGTAAACATATCAATGATGTAGATGCATTTAGACCAAATACATGAAGACCACATAGACTGAATGACCCATAAAGTACATTATCTTATGGCCTTAATTAGAGTCATTTTAAAACACTGATAGGGCATGTTTTGCTGTTGGGTGAAGGTAGGATGCTCAATTTCTACAAGCAAATGTGCACCCACATAAAAAGATGTATCTGTTACTAATTGCGTTTGTGGGACAAATGCTTCAAGACATTTTCACGCTTTTTAGAGAGCTTGAACCGGAACATTCCAAACAAATGTGTAAAACAATTCATTATATTCATTATATTTCATCCATCCATCTTCTGCCGCTTACCGGGGGTCGGGCCACGGGGGCAGCAGTCTAAGCAGGGATTCCCAGAGCACCCTCTCACCGGCCCCCTCCTCCAGCTCCACCGGGGTCAGGGTCAGTGCCCTTCCATCCCATCCTCTCAGTCTTTGTTCTAGCCCCTAGTGTGTTTTCCTTCTGCTGCATACCTCATCTGTTTTGTTTACTGGGTTTCTGTTTTCTAGTGTTTTAGTTTCGTCTATCCTATTTGTGTCCAGTTTATTTCTGTTCTGCTTGTGTTTACTCTCCAGGTCCCTCCTAGTGTTAGCCCTCAGGTGTGTGTCAAAATTCCTAGTGTTCCCAGTATGTAGTTTGTTAAAGTTCCGTAGTTTTCTGTTCTTGTTAATTGATAGTTAGGTTTCTCCACCTGTGGCCGGTTTCCCTGTACTGTGCTCATTGGTTAATTGTCTTGATGATTCACACCTGCTTTTTGTTAGTCCTCATTGTATTTAAGTGCCTGCCTTTGTTCTGCACTTTAGTCTGCCATTGTGAATGTTACTCTGTGTCACTCTGCCTGGGTTCCTTTGTGGCAGCAATGCGCTTTAAATACCAAGGTATTTCATCAATCATCCATCCATCCATGCCTCCAACTACCAGCTGATTATGTTTTATTTGCCACCCAAGTAAACGATGAACAATACATGTCATTAACTTTTATAATAGTATATATAGGAGTACATGAGCCAAATGTTGGATAAGATAGATAAAAATGCAGTAAAAGAGAATCATGCAAAAATATTTAGGAATCTCCTACTTAATGCAGAATAAAAGCAAATTCACAAAACCTCACCTGACCACATATTTATGTTTGGGCCTAATATGCAAGACAACTGCTACCTCATAGAGGCTTGGGGCAATAGCACTGGGTTTCGTAGACAACGCTGCAGGGGCTTGTCTGATACACCTCCAGATCCTGAAGAAAATTGATGTGAATCAGGCTTTACAGAAAATAATTTGGCAATGGCTCCTGTGTAGCTGGCAGTACCTAAGAAATAAATTTTAAAAGGAACATCATAAAAAAAATTCAGTACTTACCAAAACACAGCAGGAACATAATGTATACTTATGCTGACTGCTTCACAAGCAGGAGAATGTTTGTGGAAAAGTGTCAGCATAAGACCACCATGTCCAGTTTTTTATAAAATGGACAAAGGAAAAGTACACACAAGTAAACACAGGACTATGAAAGAGGCATTTGCTTTATGATCATGAGTTCCCACAGTTTTAAGTGAGCTGGTGGCTTTTCCATTCTTTACCGTATAAATCACGATAGGAGAAAGGGCCTGCTCACCCGCCCAACGGCCCACTGGCGCACCAGCTCATCAGCCCACCGGCCCACCGGCCCACCAGCACACCATCCTGTAAGTATACTTCCAGCAGACTGACCTCATGGGATTCCTTTTGAAAAATATCAAATACAAGTGGATGTTTCACTAGATTTTTTCGGTTGCACCAGAATTATATATTTGACATAATTCTGAGCTGAATGTAAACTAAAAGTAAAATAAAAATATATTAAAGCATGGAAATCCCCAGCTCCTCGAGGGGACAGCTGGCATCTTTGATGTAGTGCATAAGCTTAATCAATGCTGATAAAATCATTAAATCAATCTAATAAAAAGAAAGAAAAAAAAACAGACATTCAAGTCCTGCCCTGATCACTCGCTCCTTCCGTGTGCCACTGCCCCTCGTTAACCTCGTGTGGATTCCTGTTGTGTTTACCAGCTCTTTCCTTAGTTCAATGTATTTAAGTCCGCATTTAAGTTTGTTTCCCCAGTCCGGTCATTGTAATGTCATCTCGCGTTTGCTGCCTGTTCTGTGTTGTTACCCATCGATTAAACCCCGTATTCCCCGGTTCTCCGTCTCCCTGCTCCTGCTTCCCCGGTTTTAATGTGACATTCACTTGTAACTTTAATATGTTCCCAGGCATTTTGCTGTCATAAAAAGAAAATAATTTAGCATAAATTCACAGAAGTCCTTTCAGAATAAGGACTGCTGGCTTGGACAAGAGCCTGTGACACTGTTTCCCTGACTCTAACCCCAGCCTGTTCTGCCTACCGTCCTGTGAGCTTGACCAGCATGAATGCTTAGGAGCTGGATTGAAGTCCATCAGTCAATCAGACTCATCACACCTCCCACCACGTGACCAGCGGCTCAAAAGGCTGTTCTACACTTTTCTGATTGCAAGAATTCCTTTTCAGTTAGAAATTCATAAGATTGGGACATTGTACCAGAAGATATGTGGTGCTCTTTACCACTCCTTCCACTCTCAATTAAAGGAAAGCCTCTCGAGTAATCAAATTTACATAATTAGAAAAGGGTCATGCATTCTGTCTTCTTTAACTGGTCGCTTTTTGTGCTTTTGTTTTCCAGTTTTATGGAATATGTTAAGGAGGTCTCACTTTGTTTTTGTTGTATAGTATGATTTTGTATTTTATGGTATTGATAATGTTTTTATATTTAGATATGCTCTTAAAAGAGAAATGCAGGGACTATAGATAAAACTAGCCTAAGTGGCATATTTACAGTAATGATAATATGCATTATGTGTGACAGAGAGCTGACACAATGCATAACATATGCTAGACACTGTTCTCAGATATCAGATGCACTTTGCCTATGCTTTTTTTAGAACTATATGTGTGATGCATCTGCCAAGCCAACAAATTGTTTTGATTAATAGATCCTTTTTTGAAATCTAAGATTCATAGATAGTGATGTTACTGCAGTTCCTGGCCAGGAATCATGAAAGCATATGGTGCATTGCAATCAAAGAACTAACTTTCTGACTAATTATAAATTGTCATCTGGAATAACTCACGTAAAGGAAAATTTAACATAATTTAGTGCTGGACAAACTCAAATGCAACTTAAGACAGACTTCAGTCCCACTTCAAATAGTTGGAAGAACATCAACCGTATCCTAGGGCAGATCTGAACATTTCAATGCATGTGGTTAGTTTGTGCCAAGCATTTATGAAGAAGCAAACAAAATCATGTCAAAACTAGCCTTAAAGAGTACAGTTCAGTGGTTGATTTATTTCCAAATGGTGACTCTTGGGTTGTGTAACTGCACAATAAGAGACTAGTAAAACCTAAGTATTTCAAGGAATGGTAAGATTCACTAATCTGCGTCGATGTACCAGCATGGAAGTTCAAAATGCAATTGCCCCGTTTAAAAAGGGTGCACCGGATACAATTTGGGATGGACCCGGGATTCATCATTTCTAACATCTTTGCATTGATAAAATTCAATTTATTAATGTATGGTTATTAGTAGAGGCCCCTATGCCTTTATTATTTAGAAATGTGACCAATACGTTTTGACCAATAATTTTATGTATAGATTGATTCTCCTCTGTAAACTGTTTCTGTATCTGTACGATATTGGATTGCATAGCATCATATTGCATCACGTTGAATTGGATTGTGTTAAATCAAATCATGTTGAATTGGATTGTGTTAAATCAAATCATGTTGAATTGGATTGTGTTAAATCAAATCATGTTGANTGAATTGGATTGTGTTAAATCAAATCATGTTGAATTGGATTGTGTTAAATCAAATCATGTTGAATTGGATTGTGTTAAATCAAATCATGTTGAATAGCACTGCATCGCAATAGGGGCTCATCGTAGCGCATCACTTTAGTAGTTGCTTCATATGTATATATTTAATGTTTCAGATCATTGGTAATGTATCGAGACGTGTGTCACATTGGCCTCAGTCATGTGGATGCATGTCCCTTATTCCTAGTAACATTTCTCTTTTGAAGCTAAAAGTAGCCAAATAGGTTTGATATTGAAGTTCCCCCCGACAGCAGCGGCATGTATGAATGTTTTTGCTTCATGAGTCTGATCCAGAAAAACTTCTGAGGACGGGTCTATGTCTCCTCATCCGAAAAACCCCACTGAGTGCCAGTGACACCAGAGAAGGGCTAATGCGTCTCCCCTTGAGAGGATTAGTGCGGTGCTGAAAGGTGAAGAATCGTCCTTCACAAATCTCTTGGCACCCGAGCCGTTATCTTTTTGTTAAGCTTTGAGCTCTTTAATGCAAAAAGGCCCTGAAGGGGAAATAAAAGAAGCCGATGTAAATATGCGGAGGACACAGTTAGGGTGAGGATGGGGCAGGCGGGGGGAACAGGACAGGTGCTGAAGACTGTGAGGAACCTCAAGTGGGATGGGAAGCCATGTAGGCAAGGCTGTGACGGTTAGGCTTAATCAGCAGGGATTCACATGGAATCACCAAGACTACAGCTGTACGTCAGTTATTTTATCTTTTTTATTTAGCTTATGGATCATGTTTATTAATAGTGCCCGAAATGTATAAGCCACCTTTCTGAAAGTTTGATGAAAAAGTATGTTGTTTTGTTAATCATAAATCAAAGATTAAACTTATTAAAAAAAAAAAAATACATGCAAGACAGTTAAAGATACATCTACATTTGTTTATGAAATTTTAGAAAATTTGATGCTATTCAGTATTATTTTACTTTCAAATCCAAAGTAAAACAATGGCACAGGACATGATTTGGTGATAAAATATTAAATCTATGACTTTAGGGCAAAATTTCTCAATAACAGTAGCGCAGCAGCTCCATTCCTACTCGATAAAAACAATATAAATAAATTTTAAAAAAACTGAAGTTTACTAAACAGAATGTTTGCACATCCGAATACTTATGGCAGGAACTGGCGTAAATTGCTTTACTTATGGCAAAAAATAAAACAGAAGCAGCTTTAAGAAAAATAAAATGCAGGTTTTAATTGTGCTGCTAATGTAGGATGTATTGTGACTGGAATCCGCAACCACAGGCCCTATTTGCCATTGGGCAACGGCCAAGTGCCCCTTCACCGCCAGGAAAGTGGTCTCTGCCTGGGATGGACTCGGTGTGGATCAATGTACGTCTCCTTCAGAGCCACGAGGAGCTTGAGAATCGGGGTGCATAAGGCAGTCAGAATGGGGACGCTGTAGTACTGCAGGTAGAAGAAAACATCCCGTACTGGTACCATCCCAAACACACTCAGGGTGCCTCGGGATAGCGGCGGCAGGCAGTGCTCCTTCCAGTAGGTGGCGACGTTACGGTACATTTTCAGATTCAAGTCCATAGTTGCAAGATGAGCCTTTGAGGGGGAATTTTTTTTACAATTTATTACAGTTGAAAACATTGTTCACTTCACTGTATGACTCGTGTTTCCTGAGATCATGTAAATCTGATAATTAGTAACAAGATAAACTGTGGCTCAATGAAAAAATTAGGATAATGTATTCTGTGTGTTTAGCCAAAACCGCAATATATTTCCATACAATTTCTGTAAAATTATATGTTGATGTCTTTCCAGTATTGATATCCACAGCATATTCTCTGCAATGGTAAGTGAACATTAAACAATATATATGAAGTAAAGGAATGAATAGTCTTAAATTAATACAATGTATAAATATGTACAGTTGCCCCTCCAGATTTGTGAATTTGACATTCCCGGTTTTGGGAATGGGGCTGCTTGATTATGGCAAAAAATCATAATCACAATTCTTTTTGCCAATACTGAGATCATGATTATTTAACATGAAATGTGCATTTATTAAACTTTAAAACCTTGTCATTTTAACACTGGATTTCTATAAACTCTAAATATAATTCAACTGAGAAACAGAGAAAAAGGGGCTGGAATGGGACACGGCGGATTCATAACACAAAACGAAATGGGAACATCACTGCAAAACGAAAAGTGGCACAATGATAGTTTTATCGCAATTATTTTGTTTTTGTTGGAAGCCAAAATCAAAACTGAGATTAAAATCCAATTAATTAAACAAATGAAAGGGAATATTTTTGGCCAACGTGTATGCCAACGTGTATGCCAACGTGTATGCCAACAACGTGTATGCCAACGTGTATGCCAACGTGTATGCCAACGACGTGTATGTCAACGTGTATGCCAACGTGTATGCCAACGACGTGTATGCCAACGACGTGTATGCCAACGACGTGTATGCCAACAACGTGTATGCCAACGTGTATGCCAACGTGTATGCCAACGACGTATGCCAACGACGTATGCCAACGACGTGTATGCCAACGTGTATGCCAACAACGTGTATGCCAACGTGTATGCCAACGACGTGTATGCCAACGTGTATGCCAACGACGTGTATGCCAACAACGTGTATGCCAACAACGTGTATGCCAACAACGTGTATGCCAATGTGTATGCCAACGTGTATGCCAACAACGTGTATGCCAACGTGTATGCCAACAACGTGTATGCCAACGTGAATGCCAACGACGTGTATGCCAACGACGTGTATGCCAACAACGTGTATGCCAACGTGTATGCCAACGTGTATGCCAAAAATATATAAATAATACTGAAAATAATTTGTATCACATAAAGTCACATATAAATGTTTGTGTTTTTAATACTCATTAGTGTACATGCATACTATGTCTTTAATACTAAAGGATATTTTTTGGGGAAAAAAAGAACTTGTAGTGTCTATGATCTTGGCATGGGTACAGCGCACACCTGTATCTCGGTGATGTCTATGATCTTGGCATGGGTACAGCGCACACCTGTATCTCGGTGGGGTCTATGATCTTGGCATGGGTACAGCGCACACCTGTATCTCGGTGGGGNGGGTCTATGATCTTGGCATGGGTACAGCGCACACCTGTATCTCGGTGGGGTCTATGATCTTGGCATGGGTACAGCGCACACCTGTATCTCGGTGGTGTCTATGATCTTGGCATAGGAGTAAAATGCCCCACAGGCTTTCGGGACTAGAGATAATTGTACGCTGCAAGGTTACAAACCACAATGTCCTGCATGCTGTACCAGAAAGCCTCACCCGCTCATCCAGAAGCCTCCAGACTGTCTCCTCTATGGACTGCTCCAGCCGCTGATATGACACTAGCAGGTGAAACATCAGCAAAGTCCAGGACGCCGTGGCAACAAGCAGCAGCACCCTAGTGGGTCAGTTACACAAGATCCTAGCTTTGACTTTCAATGTGATATTACATTAACACAGGGGCTCATCCTGAGACCCTGCTTACATTCACCCACATCACAGACTGCTGGGCCAGTTTGCTCACACTCATGCGAAAAGGCATGAAACATATTCAAAGAATTACTAATTTGGGGAAAACTTCAAAGTTCCATTACAGTAATAAAAGAATGAGTTTATATGGTCACCAGAGGTAAAGGGGCTGAATTGTGTACCATGACACCATATCAAACACTTCAGATATGTTCCCTTAGAAGAGAATAAGAAATACGCACCATACTTTCATCCTTCTGGGGGTGAGTTTGCTTTTCTGGATGACATTATCTATCAGGTAGTAGAGCAGAGTGGCAATGGCACTGGCATAGAGCACCAGGTATATGAGGTAGGTTGTGTGGGCTTTCATGAGGTGGGTTTCAAACTGCTTCTTAATCTCGTCCTAATTCACACAAAAAGAGGGATCTCCCATCAAATTCCTCTAGGCAGCCATGGGATGTTCCATTATGAGTCATGAAGGAACAGACATTAGCAAAATTAACCAGAAAAACACCACATATGTAACACCTGGAATTTTATAAAAGGTAGGTGGTTGTTCCAGGAGCCACATTCAGCCAGGGGAATTTCATAAAAATCTGTCCATTATCTGGAAACTAATTTTATACTTGTCATGCAAACAAGAATTTTTGAACTACGATAAGTGACAGAGGGGAAAAATGGGAGGTTGAGGCCCATGGAGTCGGGGAAACCTTACTAGCAGCTGTAGGAAGTGAGAGTGCCAGATGAGCAAGCTGTGGTCCAGGGCGGCCTGGGAGGCCCGTAAGATGGGGTGGACGGCGGAAAAACCATCCACCGCCGCCGTGTAGCGACGCATGCTGTGCAGCAGGGAACCTGAAATGCCGGCACAGCCACCATTCAGTCAGCCTGCAGGCATTAACACCCAGAGCTAACACACAAGTTACGTGCCCATGTGACGTGTCTCACGTTACATTAAGCTACCATTATAAGTGCTATGGAATGCAAATGATAATATACTGTTTCCCAACACTCCCTTGTACATAAAGCAATTGGCCGGTGCAGAAAATCCTTAGATTGCATCTTCTGCTGCCCACTCATCAGTCAGCCTCGGGTGCTTTAATTCCCATAAACATTCTTTGAAACAAAACGCTCTATTGTTTCTCGCATGGTCCACTCCTGCTCGGGGAGTTGCAAACCGCTGCTGGGAAGAGATCCGTGAATTAATTTCCAGCGTATTTTAATAAAAATAAAAATCCAAAAATGTGAATAAAAAAACACACACTGTTGAAATCTACCAATGGGAGGCTCCTCCCACTCAACCCCCTGACCATCCAAAATCTAACGAGGGGAACACCCCCACCCTGATTGGAGAAATTTACCCAGGGGGACATCCTGGCCCCCAGTAGTGGATAAGTGAGTAGAAGACGGATGGATGGATGGATGGATGGATGGATGGATATACAGGGGTTGGGACAATGAGTAGGGGCTGGTGTAGGGGCTCCTTTTGTGGCCAATACAGCATCAGTTCTTCTTGGGAATGATGGATCCAAGTCCTGCACAGCAGCCAGAGGGATTTTAAGCCATTTCTCTTGCAGAACAGTGGCCAGGTCACTATGTGATGCTGGTGGAGGAAAATGTTTCCTGACTCACTCCTCCAAAACACCCCAAAGTGGCTCAATAATACTGTATTTAGACTGTGCAGGTCATGGGAGATGTTCAACCTTCATGTTCATCAAACCACTGTATCTCCAGTCTTGCTGTGTGTATTGGTGCATCATCAACCTGATACATGGTACCACCTTCAGTGTTTGAACCATTAGGTGAACATGGTCCTCCAGAATGGTTCAGTCGTCCTTGGCAGTGACACACCCACCTAGAACTAGTAGTGGCCCTAGGGAATGCCATGATATTACAGCCCAAACCATCACTGATCCATTATTGTGGTGCATTCTGGGTATGCAACAGTCAGGCTGGTAAGCCTCTTTGGGGCTTCTCTACACCGTGACTCTCTCGGATGTGGGAAGGACAGCGAAGGTGGACTCATCAGAGATCAATACATGTTTCAAATTGTCCACAGCTCAAGATGTGGCTGCTGACACCACTGAAACCGACGTTTGGCAGTGGCACGAGTGACCAAATGTTTGGCTATTGCAGAACAGACCATGAATACTGACCCTGTGGAGCTCCAGATGAACAGTTTGATAGAAACAGGAGAGTTGAGGTGCGCATTTAATTCTGCAGTGAGTTGGGCAGCTGTGGTTTTATGTTTTCTGGATACAGTCCGGATTAATACCCGGACATCCCCTTCAGACAGTTTCCGCTAGCGTCCACAATTACTCCTGCAGGACGTGGTCCATCCTTCGTGGTCGAATGCTGACATTACCCTGGATACCGTGGTTCTCAATTCACCACAAAGACTTGCTGTCCTGGTCACAGATGCATCAGCGAGACGCTCACCAACAATCTGTCCCCTTTTAAACACTGATATGTCTCCCATTATGTTGTGAGGATTGAAATATTTTATGTAGAGCTGTGCTATTGCTCTGCTAATTCAACCTTCACACACTGTTCTTACTGATGGAAAGTGCATCAGTGAAGATTGGGCTCTAAGCCACGCATATAAAGGCGTTAAACATCAAACACTATTTTGGCCAGTGTTTCAGTTTCATTGTCCAACCCCTGTACATACAACAAATGCACTTACAATTCTAGAATGCTATTTAATAATAAAAAAACAGCACTTACCGTGCAGGTATTTGAAGAGGTAGCATGTGGCGAAGGTCACGACAACACACAACAAACCCAAAACAACACCCTCCTCTGCAGAGAGACGCATGCTGTCCATCTCAGGCCACAGACTGACCTGAAAGAGCACAGACCAGAAGAATCTGAAGGTAGCGCTGTTTGCATTGAAAACATCAGGCTGTGAAGTACAGGAATGCCTACATCAATGGATACAAGATTATATAACATTAACATGCGTGTCCCCCAAACTACCATGGTCACCTACAGGAAGTGACTAACACGTACAAGTAATAAGCCCTTTAGGGTATAAAGAAGCCGTTTACCCCTCCTCCTACAGCAAGTCTGTCCACACTCTCTTTGGCTCTTTGATGCTTTTCCTGTAGTAGCTTTTGCTTCTCTTGGAGACTGGGACCTGGAGCAAACACATACAAATACAATACAATGTCAGCACCGACCTCAAGATTGCTGGGCTGATCTGAAACCTGGTATTTACTGTGCAGATCGGTGTTTACTAAGAACTTGACTGGGATTACATAACATAGCACAACACATATATTGGGAGATTTTAAGAGCAAAAAAAATAAAACTCATCATCTGGAAGAAAAAAACATACCTGGTGTCATTCTCAACGTGGCAAGATTAGGACTTACAGCCTTATCAGATGATCTGTTACACGTTTCTAAATTCGATCTGAAACAAGCAAAAAGAAATATAGGGGGAAAACAATAAGGAGGAACTTCAGGACAAATTTAAGCCTCTTATCTTTCCCTCCCTGAAGTACGAACTTATTAATGAGCTACGGTGACCATATTTTGCTTTGCAAACACCGGCCACAGGGCGCAAAAAGAAACGTCCAAGCGTCAGATATGCACTCAGGAACTATTCCGATAGTAAAAAGTAGATAGTGCGAAACAAAGCGAAATCCCAGACATTTCAGGCATTTTTATGACCCAAAAAAAGGAGGACAAGTCCAGAGTAGACAGGACATATGGGCACTCTAAATGAGCTCTATTCATAAAGGTGATTGTCTTACATTAAGTTAGCCTGGGTCTTGGAAATCATTGGCGTTATAGATCGGGTACGTGTCTTCGCAATAACGTGACTTTCTACAGTTTGCTCATTTTCCTTAGATGCCAGTTTACTAAGCGTCCGTCGCGATATTCTGTCTTTTGAACACCCGGATATCCTTCGAGGCGTGCTGTACAAATCCATGGAATTGAATGGCTTCAGAGGAGAAGTCATCTTCTTATCCTCTCTTGGTCTGTCACTACCAATGTATTACGCACGTACAGTCCTATGATCGCCTGCTAATGAACTCTGGTGACAATTCGTGCTTATAAAAATGCGGTGGGTTCTGTGCTCGAGAAAGATCCCAATTTCCAAATAGGAAGCAATCCAACTTTTAAACTGTAGACTTTATGCGGCAGCAAAACAAAATATATTATCAAATTATTATCCGGTATAAAAAAAGTATCGAAAGATCTATTATAAATCCACCCCAACCGCTGAATGAAAGACGCAGATGCTCCTGATTTTGCTGAACAATTGTTGCATAAAAATCCGTGTTACTTTTAAATTTGCCTCGCTCAGGCCGGATTAATCGGTGGCCTCCAATCGCCGCTCTATTAGGCGTTTCCCGCAGCAAGGACTGGACCATAAATGCCTTCAACATTCGATTGCTTATGTCTACTCACCACAGCCTAGCTTCTTCGCGGCCACGAGGTGGTATTGTTTCCCAGGTTTTAAAAAAGATCTTGATGCAGTTTTTTATGCGCTACCATTTTTTTTAAAAAACAAAATGTTTAAATACATTTGGCTTAACATGATGGATAAGCAATGCCCACGGTCTGCATTGATACGTAATTCCAATGACCAAGACTGATTTTATATGTACACCAAGCCCTTAATGTGAATTTTTATTTTTTTTAAAAAGTTTACAAGAAATTTACAAAAATGGATAAATGCAATATCACATACCATACTGAAAGTAAATAAGTTTGTGTATATTTACAAATGAACAGTTTTATTACAGTTATATGATTTGTACATATAAACAACTTGTACTGTAGCTGTATTAATACAATTGGATGTCCTCCAGTTCAAGTGCAATGTCCTTGAGTTTTGGATCGTCTCTCCAGTTCACTTTACTGGCCAGTATAGTTCCCTGCAAGAGAGAGCACTGTGTTACACACTTCACAATCAATAACACCCAAGTGCAACTTTCTCTATGAGGATCAAAAATATGGATAGCTACATCAACAACAAAAAACCCTTCCGTCGATTAATGAAAACACTGAACGATTTTCTCAATTTTCATTAAACTGTCATTGTATCCAGGGAGTTCCCCTGCCTTATGCCCCATGCTGTCTGGAATTAGGTCTTGCAACCCCCTCCCCCCCCCCTCACCCTCTACTGCCTGGACTCTTCCTGGTCCATGGTCAGTATACTGTAACAAGGGAGTATTTGTGGACAATTGGTTAACTTCCAAAACAAAGTTATATATTTTCTATTTTTTACAACTCCTCATGCTTGTGTGTTCTATTTGCATCTGAAAAAAATGGAAATTGTAACACTTACGAAACTGTCATATCGATCCACTGCCGTTTCCCCGGTCTGTTAAATTTAGACCAGATGGGCACCCCAAGTGTACAGGATACCCAGGATCAAGGTATAAATGGATGGAATTTCAATTAAAAATGTCATATTGACCGTTTATACAAAACCTATAAAGATTAAATTGGTCTAAGTCAATGAGTCATAGTACCAGGCAAAGTATCACTGGCAGTTTGCCAGTCTCAACTGCCAACATCACCAACAGAGTGAAAATGCTGATGGACAGTAAAGCCATATAGAGCAGTGTTTTTAAACCCAGGACAGCTGAGAAATATGGATATGCTCCCTCCCATAGTGAATTTGGTGGGGGCAAAGAAGTGGACCATCTGGAGGTCCCCAATGACCAGGGGCCTGTACTACGAAGCGGGGTTACTGGCTTATCGGCGAAACTTGTCGGATTTAAGGTAGTCTGGGCAAAATGTAAGTGAACGAATATGAAGTCCATTTAAACTGTGGTACCTTAAATCTGACAAGTTACCCAAATCAGCCAGTAACCCCGCTTCGTAGTACAGGCCTCAGGTTGACAAACAGTGGTATGGAGATACAGTGGTACCTCAGAACTCAAACTTAATCCGTTCAGAACTCCGGATCGAATCCTAAAAAATTTGAGTTCTGATCGAATTTTCCCCATAAGAAATAATGGAAAACCAATTAATTGGTTCCCGGTCCCAAAAAATTACACTGAAATATGTTTTTTTTAGCATTTAAACACAAAATGAACCCGATAAAACAAGAAGGGCATATACTGTACCAAACACATCTAAGCACATTAATCAAAACAGTAATTTTTAAAGTAAGAAAATAAATGTATCCAAACAATGTGTCCTGCCCCGATTGTCCGCTCCTTCCGGGTGCCACGCCCCCTCGTTAACCCCTTGTGGAATCCCCGTGTGATCAGCTGTTTCTGGTTGTTGTCATTAGTCCTCTGTATTTAGTCCGCGTTTCAGTTTGTTTCCCCAGTTCGCTCATTGTATTGTCCGTCTGCGTTTTTGCCTGTCTTACCTGTAATTAAACCCCGTATTCCGATACCCTGACGTCTGCGCCATTGTCTCCGTTCCATCCCCACTCCGCACGAAAATATTATTATAATTAAATGTATTAATGGTTTATTATTAATATTAAAATAATTAATAAGAAATCTTTATTTTTGAATGTATTTTATTATATAATAATAATTACTGTTACTGTCTATCATTGTCTAAATGTATTTTTACTGTCTAATATGTATTCAGCTAGTGTAAACATGCACGATGCTATCACAGCGAATGCGAGGCTGACAGTGAAGCGTTACCCTTTGTTTCCGCTGAGAGATGTGCCGGGTGACTCATTTACCCGCTTACAAGTTATCTTAGGTCGGCGTTCACGGTTTGACTTCTGAGATTCAGATCGAGTTCTAGGTAATTTTTTTTTAACTGGTTGGTTCGACTTTTAAGAAAATCGAGTTTTAATGAGTTCGAGAACTGAGGTACCACTGTATTACCTGGAGGACATTCTGTGTCATTGTCGCCATCTTCTGGTACTTCTGCAGGTACTCCTGGCCTTTCTCTAAAGCTTTCTTGTACTTCCCTTCCTCGGGATGCTCTCTCATTCTTTTCAGCTCCTCCATCTCCTTCATTTTTTCGTGAATGAGTCGTTTTAGATCTAGCATGAGTGTAAAAGAAAACAACGCCATGCAGAACAGATTTACTTTTTACCTGTTACATATGTACTGGAGGTAAGTTATACCACCACCATCCCTGTCAATCTGCCTCAAGAATAACCATGATCGTGTTATGATCTGGGTTCTACCTCATTTGTTTTACAAAAATAAGGCTTAATACGAAATGCTATGAAAATACCACATGGGCAGTCTGCTAGTACTGCATTAGTGCTGTGTGTGTTTGTTTTCTGTGAATAATGACTATGTAAAAGTTTAATAAATATAATTTTAATAACTGTACCGAGTCTCTTTTTCTGCAATTGAAAAACTTGATCCTGGATCTCAGATGATTCCTTTAAAAAAAAAAAAAAAAAAAAACAATCAAACAAACAAGAAACCGCCACAGAAAAAAGGATATACTGTATATATAAATCCAAATATACATAATCCAAAAACCCCACCTGCTGAACTTCCAGTATTTTGGAGGACAGCTCCAGACTGTGTTTGGCTGATGCTTTTAACACCCTGCACATGGATACAAAATCTGTGTTTGTTCCACTAAATCACAACAAATTTATATGGTTCCCAACCAATCCTACAATGTCCAGTGAGGTATTTAACTTACTCTGACTCGGTGTCATTCTTTTTGAGTCTCTCTGAGATGCCCCACCAGATCTGCATTCTGGGAAACATTGGATGTGACAAATTCAAAATATGCCTTGAATCTACAAATATAACCCACTTCAAAAAATTACCGTCATATAATTATTACATTTTCAGTGACAGAATACAAATTGTGGTCCCAGGAGTGGGCAGTTCATTATCCATTATGAAAATGATTCCCTGTAACTGAGTACTGGACCATATCACCCAGTTCCAATCCAAGTGTCAATGTGCTGTAGGAACCTCAAAGTTCTTATGCTCATTACTTTCATCAAGCCTTCCATTTGTACAGTATATTTCCAAGAAGGTGCTTTATATATAGAATGAAACCCAGCATATGGATGAGTATGTCCAGGTTATATTTAAATACATCTTAGACAGATTTGAAAATTAACAGCTCATATAAATGGGAAATTTGCATGAGTTTAACATTAAGATGAATTTGTTTAAAATAAATTTTATTCTTCTACTTTGAACAGCACAGTGCAGCGCTCACATTTGTGATTCCATCAAAAACAGGAATAAGTAAATTCATGTTCTTTATACATAGTAGTCCACTTTGTCACACTTGTCTGGAAACACTGAAGTATTTCCATACTTCCTTTTTTCCCCAAACTTGGAAAACACGACAATCAAATTCCATGCCTTTTCCATATTGCGTAGGAACCCTGGAAAACCCACATAAACACTGGGAGAATTTGCAAACTCGTGACACACACAGCTAGTGGCAGGAATGACACCCATAACCCTGGAGGTGCGAGACCAGCATTCTAACTGCTCAGCTACCATATTAATCACTTAATTATACATTTTTCATAATTCTTATTTGCCACTGAATCAATACATAGCTGACACCTTAATGTAACTTTACTGCTGTTCACTGCAGCACAATTTATAATAATCTTTGGTGTGTCAATCATTTTGATATCTTTAGATTCATAAAATTATAGTTTGAGAAAATATTTTGCATCTGACTGTAGATCATCAGGGAGACTAGAAGTTTTCTGAATAATTAAACAATTAAAGCCAACGGAACCCTGAATAGAACAAGAAACCTATGAGGAATAAACAGTAAGGGACCAGTAAGGGACCAGTAAAGGACCAGTAAAGGACCAGTAAGGGACCACCCTGCATAGCGGAGAAATCACAGTCAGTGAGATACTTGCCTCTGCAGAGCCAAGGTTTTGTTGCAGTGGTTAATTCTTGCTTCCTCTATCTCACTTTCACATTCAGACCTATCAAACATACAACAATTATGATCAAACACTGATTTTAGTACTAGATAATAGGTTGATTCTTTTAGCACAAGGGCCATTACTTTTAAGTAATACTTACATATCTCTGCTAGATTCCTGCTCTCCACATGATTTTTTGAGTTTTTCTGTGGGAAGGTTCATGGAACATTTAGGATGCTTTAAGGTAAATATACCATATAGACCATAACAGGACAGGACAGTGACATATAGACCATAACGGGACAGGACAGTGACATATAGACCATAACAGGACAGGGGTGGCTTTCCCAAAAGCTTCATAATACTAAGCAGTTTGTTATCTAGTACTTAATACTGATGGTTAATTAGCATGCGGTTCCCGAAACCCTTCGTAACTAAAGTAGTTCGTTATCTTATTCGTAGATTTACAAGTGCTCCGACCCACTCGTTATTTTCTATGGCGTTCTTTACTTGAACTTTTGCCTGCTGTCCTGTCACAGAGACACAGAGATCAGCCAAAATAGATGACAAAACACACTGACAGTGATTTGGGACAACGTAATAATTCTGAAGATACAATAAAAGGTCAATATTGCAATATAAAACTATGAAGTTAATTATAAATAAGCACAAATGGGGCTCATTGTAACACCTGCATGCCCTTGGAGTACATTACAGGGCTGTGCACCATTCAGAACTGACTTGAGAATGACCTTGAAAATCAAATTAAATTCATAAATTGGTTGAAAACACGGTGCAGAATCCCAATTCCACTTTGAATATAAAGAAGTAGAATTAAAATGGAATTGATTTTGCACAAATTCATATACATAGTGTCAGTGCAGCTTTAACTATACAGCTTAATATTTCAATATGAATTACCCAGCATGTTACCATAAAGATCCCACCCCTACACTTACAGCATTTAGCAGACGCTCTTATAGAGAGCGACTTCCACTTTTCTAAATTAAGGGACAGTCCACCTGGAGCAAGTTAGGGTTTAGGGTTTTACTCAGGGACCCAGTGATGCTAGCGCCAGAGAAGGGACTCGAACCCGCAATCTCTTGGTCCAGAAGCAAGCATCCTAACCACTAGACCACCAACACCCAACAATACCCCCCACGCGATCACGAATATTTACAGCAGCAAAAAGTCCTACTAAAAGTTCGTTCGTTAATTCTGGAATAATGAAGGGTTTGGGAAACGCACGTAAACATCACCCAGTCACTCCTTCTTTATCTTGTTCGTTATTCGCCAAGTGACATTTCTGCTTTCAGCTCAGCTCCTTTATTACATACACCTACAATGAGGATTTACCTGCACTGATTTTGACTTGCATTTCAAAACATTGGTTCGCCATTTTCTCTTTTATCCTGTTGCATGAAAAATAAAACAAATTAATAATTCGGTTCAGTTCTGGCTGAAGGACGCCAAGTGATTATAACAATAAACAAGAGACCTTAGTATCTGTGCAGGTGAATTGTCCTTCCCATTTGGATCTTCCGGCGCCTGACAACCGCTTAATGCCACCGTTTCCAGCCTGGAAGCCACGTTCTCCAGCTCATCAAAGAGATCCATTCTGCGAAGAAGCCAAAGATTTACATTCACACGCGCACGTAATTCCCCGTCCATCCGTCAAGCGCCGGTCTTGATCCGGGTTGCGAAGGGGCCTGGGATGCCGGGCAGCACAAGGCCGTGGTTCGCAGAGGAAGGATAATGTAAGTCTCTCACAGTGCACATTCACACCCGCAATCAAAATCCCACAGGCTAAACTATTCAAAACACCAAAAACACGCTAGTTCAAGCAGACTGATTATCTATGTGTGTACTGTACTAATGACCGAAATATAGCTTGCCTAAATATTAAGAACAAGCGAACTAATTTAGGACTGCTGTTATTGTTCATACTTTATAATATTTCTCACCTTGCCGTACTATTATCGTCCGTCTTCGTCTTCAAAAAAAATTAGCTGTAACCATATGTTTTGTCAACTATGTGCCTCTTCGTGACTTCGCAAGCCCGCCTATCCTTCAAAGGTGGCGCATGTTAAACCGGATTGGACAGCAAGACATGACGCGTCATGCGCTATGGGTTAAAACTATACGACCATTGGTTGAAATGTGCATCAATAAGATTTCCGGCGAGAGTCGATTTGTGATTGGCTGTTCTTGCAAACTGAATATAGCGCCAGGAAATTGTAGGTTATCACATGATGGACCAATGACAACAAGGGTAAGAATCAGTCGGGATTCCGGCAGATGGGATATGAAAGGCCGCAGTCAGGTGGATGTGTGAGAACGACACAAATAGTATTTCGTACGTACATTATCAGGAAACAACTGACAACCGATGTTAGTGGTACAGGTAAGAAAAATTATATAGTGCTAGTGTTTTTATGCATGACAAGCTATTGCATGCTTTCACATTACTTCTGTTATTGTAATGTTGAGTAACTGACTCCCCATAGCTCCTTATGTGCGTTTTTAGTATGCACTCTTTCCTTATTGCAGATATCGACATCTGATGACTAGAGAATTTCTTTTCTTATTGTTACTACAATAAGAGAGACCACGATCAAAACGGGACTGTGTACATGGCTAGTTTTATTTATTTTCTCTACAGATTCTTATTGTATTGGTGACATCCAGGCCCTTTAAGATAAAGCACATACCAACAGCGCCCTCTGATGTCCTTTATAGAAATCGCGCTTTTTGTATCGATTTAACCCGGACGTAGAAGACAGAGGCCGCCATGGGGAGCAAAATCAGTGGCAAAATGGCAGCTGCTAGTAGGGTCGTGCAGGTAAATAATGCACGCAGATTAGCCGTGTGATATGTGTTTTGTGGAATTTCATTATATGTGATGTGGGGCGCATAATGTACGCCTGAAAGCATTCCGAAATTTTGTACGTACTTGCAGAAATATCGCTTTGTTTACTGTCAGGTTTTGATGTCCTTGTAGGTCCTACTGGGTCTGTGAACATAAAGCTAAAGTATTGGGTGTGTCTTGTTTAAATATTAAACTAGATTTGCTCTTCATTTATAAAAGAAATTAATCGGATTGGTTTATTATTTGAATGAGGTTTTACTTTACATCTTGCGAACACTTTAAGTATTTTAAGCTAAATTTGTAGTGTAGTGTTTTTTGCTACTAATTTGCCAATCTAGTTATTTCGTTATTTAACCAAACGACATACTACTCTTCCACTTGGACTGCCCCACTGTTCATTATATTGATACAAATACTGTTAGTTGCATAGACACGTCATGACATGCGGCATTTATTACAAGTGCACGAGTGTCCTGAGCCTGTTTGAATGTCAAGCTAATCCAGTTCATTGAACTTTGGTCATGGGTTAATATTACTAGTTTCAAAATAATAAGATCATAGATTTTGACCCAAGGCTTTTCCCAAAAACAATTTTTATATTGTGCTCCATGAATGCTTATGAATTTTATTTAATGTTGACATGTACATTATATGTATTGAAACTGGATTGTTATGTTTTCTTATTTAAAGGTAGTAAAGCCTCATGCGCCATTAATCAAATTTCCAAATCGCCAGAATATCCCAAGGCCTACTGGTGAGTATTACTGTTGCATAACTTAAATGCTTATAAAAAAATAAACTAAACATTTAGATTTATTTCCATGATCAGTGTTAAGATGCCACAAACATGGGAAACACGATTAAGTGTTAAAGGACAAAATGCTTGAATATAATTTCAGAATTTTAATGACGAAACTTTCCATGTTTTCAGCACAGGAAGCACTGAAAATGGCTTTTGCCAGCTTTCCAGATACTTCCCCTTCGACACACAGTTCAGTGCCATCTGCGGCACTAGGATCAAGACCCCCGGGAGCTCCCAGCCAGGTGCCCGGGACACCAGACAGTGCCGCTACAGTCAGAGATTTACCCCAGAGGTATCGTAGGAAACCTCTGGCCCTAGATGAGATGGACTACATCCAGGTGAGGGCAGTCAGCACTGGAAGACATGTGCTGTGATATTATGGTCTACAAGCGGTTAGTTGCTGTCCACTCAAATGTTATGATGATGTACAGTGATCTGAGTGCATTCTGACTCCATCAAAATGCTTTTATAAACATTTTACTTTTCTTGTTTTACAGCGTGGTGGAGCAGAATGACTGTGTCAGTGATCATCAAATCCATTTTTTTTGGGTTTTTTTTCCCTTCCAGGCTAGTTCTCTTTAACGCTATATAACTTCTTGTCATATGTCTGTTGTTATGTGTGTATATATGAAGTGGAGGGGAAAAAATAAAGCAATATATAACTGGGATTTGTTTTACGACAATGCTTCACCTAGGTCCTGCACTTCACCTGAAGAAATTGAAATTACTGATCCTGTGAGAATCTACAGTGGGCTCCTTTCACAGCGCAAACAATGCGGACTTATGATTGTCTTTGCCATCCATATTTCTGTCTAGTGCAGAATACACAATTAAAGATGGCAGCAATGCTAACCTTTCTCATAGCGTACTCAAGTATCATTACTCATTCAGATTTATAGCTGCAAGTAGAAAGTTAAATAAGTGGCAGGTCACTGGACTGTAACATAAAAAACTGATTGTGAGGTTTAGTGTTTTGTCTCATTCCTTGAATGGATACACATATGGTGGAATGTGGTAGGATTTTGTTTCACACATACTGCTAGAGAGAAAAACTAAATCAAAGGTGAATATGGATTTAACTTAGTTTATTTTAATGAAATCGGGCAAATATTCCAGATTTTTGCTGATGAAAAATTTACGATACTACCATGATTTTTAATAGGATTTAATAGGATAGTATCAGTGAACTGAATGTAATAATATGGAAAAAAGCTGCGTCAAATCTCTCAAAATAACTTAAAATGAATACCATGTATCGTAATACAGAATCAATTAGGTATCGGCTAGAAAAGGCTGACATTAAATATCTGTTTTTCATACTTATCAGACTTACATAAAGCATTCCAATAAGCTCAGTTTTAATGCTTTCAAATGTATAAATACAAGTGCGGTATTGGTCATTCAATAAATCATTTCAAGACCAACTTTGTCATTAAAATGCTGATTTCCACACCTAAGCTTCTGAGCTCAATGGTTGTAAACATCACACTTCCTTCATAAAATGTGTGCTCAAGAATGAAAAGTCTGCAAATAATCGACCACAAGGATGCTTTTAGAAAAATACAGTAATACCACTATCATTCTGGCAAGCAAGGATATTCCACAGTGGTTGTCCTTTGTTTAAAAAAAATATTTTTTTATGCTTAACTTTAAAGAATAAATCACTTAACCCACAACTGGGTCTACAGCTTTGTAAACCTCAAACATAGTTTGCAGCATTTTCTGTCCTGTCTCTTGTATCCCAGCTTTTGTATTGGCTACACAAAATATTATTGGTTTTTAAAATTGTAAACTTCAACTTTAAATTGTAGGAAATAAAAATAGTTGAGTTACAGTAGTAGCAGCTGATGAAAACATTATGGGCAGTAAGCAATCCACAAAGCTTTCAACTACGCCCCTTGGAAAAAAACTTTTAAATGGTGTTGAAGGATATTAAAGTCTGTAAATTTATCAGGCAATCCAAGATCACTGCTTTTTTGGGTGGTTATATTAGCAGACGTCACTTAAGGATTTAGAACATTTAGCAGCGAATGTATCAAACTGACAATTTAGCAAGCGTTTACATATTACTAACCTAAGAAGTTTCTTTACAGAGTACCTGTAAAACATACTACTGATGAAGGTATATAAAAGAAAGTATCTCCATATATGCACTGGACTGCAAAAACACAATTGTTTTCTGTTTTCTAAGAACAACAGTCATGAAGTACTTCAGTTTCCATGGTCTGAACTAGAATAAAGAGGCTTCACTTTAACATTAGAGGTATCCTAAGGTTATGGATTCCGGGGAGATCATTTAGTTAAACATGCCAGGCATTCAACAACCAATGGTTCAGGGAGTCTACTTGAGATGTCCTTCAACAATGGTGGATGAAGTGTCGGGAAAATGTTAGCTTCAGACTTCATTCGTTATCCTCTATCACAGGCAGGAAGTCGGCAATGGTGTCCACCACATAGTCAGGCACATAGATTTTCTTCTCAGGAGCCTGGTCATCTTTATAAGCTTGCGCCTCCTCCAATGTGGACACGCCCGTGAGGGTTAGCATGGTGTCCATTCCACAGTTGGCCCCGAACAGGATGTCCGTTTCCAGACGGTCGCCGACCATGAGGGAGTTGGTGGGATCTACCCCAAACTGACTGGCGATGCACTCAAACATGAAGCAGCTGGGTTTTCCGATGACTGTGGCCTTGCGGCCGGTTGCTGTCTCCAGGGCGGCGGTGAGGCTACCAGAACCTGTTGCGGGAGAAAACATCAAGATTCAAATTCAACAGCTTTTTGCAAGAAGGGATACTGTGTCTATGATACAATTTTATTTAATTAATATTTTTAGGTTTCCTTTGCAGAAAATATACCTATATCTGAGGACTTGGCTAAAGCAATGCAAAAAATACAAAAAGTTCAATGTACTCAAGTGTATAAGATGATGTATATAAGTATATAATGTATATATGCCTATGACAATGAATAAAACAGCACATGAAGCATTGATAAGGTGTCCATATACTGTACATCAGACCGTCTTTGAACACCAGGTCATTAAAGTATGTCAACTTACTATTATTTTTCATCAAAACAAATGAAAAAGCAATGGTAGGAGAAGGTGCGAAAGTTTATGACGGCTGGTGCGCTGACCGCACAGGTGTCCGGAGCAATATACCTGGTGTGACTCTCCCTTCCCGGAGTGGATGCCAAGGGTCAGGGTCGGTGGCCAAAAAGAGGCAATCGTCGTTCTGCAAATAGCAACAAGCTTTGGCCAATTTTAGGAAAGTCAGCTTGTCATCATATCCAACCAGGACGGCCTTGATGTCCGAGTCTAATGGACAGTCGACTATAGTCATTCCCGGATCGTCCGCCTCTCCTTCCACGAAGGGCACGCCAGCCTCTCGCAGCTCCTTGTACACTCCATGTCCCCCGATAACAAACACTTTGCCTTGCACTTTGGCTACATCCCGCAGGTAGACAGCAGAGCAGTAAGCCGAACTGAAGATTTCTTCCTGCGCGACGTCTGTGAAGCCCAGCCTGGAAAACTTCTGCACGTAGTTCTCCCTGGGCCTGGTGCAATTGTTGGTCACGAAAAATACGTTTTTCCCTTGCTTTTTCAATAAACTCACGACCTCAGTCGCCCCGGCCACTGCCTTTTCGCCATTCCAAATGACCCCATCGCAATCGAAAAGGACACTGTGCTTTGTGTCTAGGACGTCTCGTATTTGAGATCCCCTGATCTTCTGACAACCTCTGCCAGCTCCTGCCATTCCGATCGCTATGTTATTATAAGCACCTCGCCAGCTGTCACTGCTCACCCTGTCTTTCTTTGTGAACCAATGGCAATTACGTCACCCAGTTGTAAAATAGAAAAATGGCGCTTCCAGCTGCTAACTCGCTCCGTTTTGCTTCAGATGCTAAAAACTATATAGGAATACGTTCAGGGTGGCATTAAAGGAAGCAGAGGAAAACAACGCGACCCCCCATCTTCTATCGCCACAGCACCAACGAAACACCTCCGGCCTTTCATGCAGAACCTGCCCCTCCGAGTAGTCGGCCCCGACCCCGCGCCACGCCCCCTACGAAATATATCCAATGAAATCATCCCGTCTCATCTCAATATGGAAATAGCGAGGTAAGAATGCGCATCGCAATTAAACAGCTTCGTCGGTCGGTGAGCGCCGTTCCGTGCTGTGAAATGGCCGCTTCTAAACAAAACAAAATCGCACAAACGCAGGAAGTTAGAGGAATATCGTATATGATTGTGTAGTGTGAGTCATACCTGAATCTCTCCACTGCGAAATGTCTCGCATGTGAACTAATTTCCAAAACACGTGGACAATAATGATCTTCTACTGAAACAGTAAATCAGATTTCCTATACATTTCTTCTTTTATAAGATCTCATTTTTTGTTAGTCATATAGATGCGTGTTCTGTTTTTCCTGATTTGTATGAGTTTGAGTTTTATTTAAAGGAAACAACTGGTCAGTAGGTTTTTGAGTGCCATCCACTTTAAGAGAGAAGAAGAAAGGCAGTCACTTGGGTGTTTGATACCTACATCAAACTGCCATCAAATGTTCTAAAACAACTTCCTAATTGACTAAGTGCAAATGACCATTTCAAACTGGTGTTTATTAATTGTATTACATTTTTTTTCCTCCTTTAAAAATTCAGTCGTTTTTGATCAACACAAAATGTTCATCAAACAAATGACATTCAAAGCGCCCAGAATGTCAGATTCCCATTGGATGAATTCTACACAATATTCTTAAAATTGATAATTATTGCAAGAATGCTACAGATCATTGTTCCATATTTTGAAAATGTTCATCAGGTCATGCATGTGATGTAGCATAGCATGCATCAATCTTCACACCACTTCACTGCGGCAGCATGCTGCTGGTCTGACCCATCCTCTCTTCCCATGGCCACAGACCAGCTCATCTGAGCAGATCTCCAGGTTTCCCCAAGCCAGCTGGAAGATGTCATTCCTCCAGCATGTCCTGCACGTGGCCCAGGGCATCTGCCCAGAGGCGTTCTCCAAGAAGCCAAACAGGTGGCACCCTTGAGAAGCCCAGACCACCTCAGCTGACTCCTTTTAGTCTCAAGGAGCATACTCTATTCCAAATTCAGTTGTCATGGTCAATGATCCCAGCAGTCAAATGAAAAAAAAAAAACTTATTTTGGCCACTTGTACCTGTGAATTTGTGCTTTTTTTGGGGAGGTGTGACTCAGTGGGCTACGCCTCTGTGCCTGTAATCAGAAGGTCCCCAGCCTGAGCCCAGCCTCACCACGTCTGCGGATCCTTGAGCAAGGCTCTTAACCCCCAGCTCCCTGGGCACTGCTATGGGTGGCTGCCCTTCATGGCCAGCTTGGTTTCACCTACAGAGAGCAAGCTGGGGTAGGTATACAGAGAATTTCCTCATGGAGATCAATAAAGAATCTATTATTATTATATCACTAGCAGCCAGTCAGCTAAACTAATTTCATTATCACTGGAAATGTAATGATCTGCAGGTACAAATAGTCAATTTCTGAATTTAAAATAAGGAAACTCATACTATGGGGAATTTTACCAGTAATTCAGGAAAAATTAAATAAATTACAACTAGAATTTATGCTTTATGGATTAACTTACAGTGCCGAACACTTCAAGGATTATTTATGATAAAAAGACAAGTCTGGCTGGATCCATAATGTGAGAATCAAATGGATACAGTAGTATTTACGTTTGGTCTTACATCAAAAAGCATTTACGCCAAAGGAATTCACTGAAATCTGGAGAGTTACTGCTCATTTTGGTCAAGAATGACAAAGACATGGAGGATAAGATTTCCAGAGCTTTATTTCTGGATCTGTACACAAGGTATTAAAGTACAACAGAAAATACAAAATAATGCTCAACAAAACAAAACAATTCAGTGTTTATGTACAATATTATAAACAATAAAGATTTTGTCTTGAACATTTCAGATATTAAATGCAGTTTCGATTGTCTATATTTCTGGCTCTCTATATATTTATATATATTTGTGTTTGTTTCGTGTAATTCACAAAGGTGGTTCTGAACTCAGACCAAGAATGCTCATAACTGTACTGACTGTATTTGCTTCTTTAAATTCTAAAATAAGAGAAATTAAAAATAGTGTTTAGGAAAAAAAAAAAAAAATCTTGTACTAAATATTCCTTTAAAATAGCACATTTGACTGATTTTAGTGGAGGGTTTAAAATAGACACATACTTCCCTACAGGTAAAATGCCATTACGATTACATTCTGAATTTTTTTTAATCTATAACCATTCCGTACAAACTTTGGATAAAATAAATACCACTGCACCACTATGTTTGCTAAAGCTAGCGATCAATCAGTCCTTGCAAAAGACGAATAGAAATAATTGCACAACCTAAGTGACCAAACTGTACACTGTATCTGCCAACAACTGGTACTAAGGTACAACCAAGTAAATTTAATGTTGGGAAGGGAAACGGGAAGAAAAAAAAGGGGGGATTCCAGGAAAAGCAAAAGTACCGCAACAAACACCAGGCACTAAACAAGCAGTCATTCTGGCTTCTAATTATGTCAGAAGTCAATTTCCTTTGTTGCCATTTCCATCAGTCTTATTAAACAAATACAGCAAATTTAGCACCCAGAGTTGGTAGACAACAGATGTCCGATTCAAACACAAAATGTGGAATTAACGTTTCTGTCCTGTACAGAAAATGCAGCGCCTTGACCTGTGGCCACTCCAGCTACCCCTGGCTAACGGGCTCAGTGGAAGCAGGGCAGCGAGACCACAACTTGATCAATCAGCTGTCCTAATGTAAAACACACCAAATCTGCACCTTTTGCTGAATATGCACTGTTTTATAGTGTTGGAATATAACAACAGTAAGAGTGGGGCACACTGGTGCAACCTAATACTAAGTACAGTACTTCAGTGTTGCATGGATCAAAACCCAGCCATTCTATTTCAATTTGCAGCACGAGAGAAAGTCAGCCTTCACATTTCGCAGAAGAACCTGCAGAGTACACAGACATATGGAAGTGTTTTCGTGTCAGTTTTTGCAAAAACTGGGTGCGCAGTCACTTGGAATAAAGGCCTTACTGCAAGAAAGGACCAAATCCCAGCCCTGGTCATGCCAAAAGGCTTCCAGAAGCATGTGAAAAAAGGCATAAGCAGCCTCCCAGCTCTGCTTGTGGGATCCAGATGTCAGAACCCGGTGACCCCTTAAAGGAACATGACGCAGACCACCAACGTGTATAGTGTGGGAGATCACTTGTTTCAGTGGACAGTGGGAAACGTTCTCATCGGCACTTTATACAACCTATTACTCTATAGCACAGCGCATCCGCAATGCCTTTTTAGCAGACAGCTACTGCACAAAGGGGGCGGGGGAGATTTACAATGATTGCAAAGCGTTCAAAAGAAAGAAAAAAAAAAAAGAAAGAAAAAAAAACAGTGCAGAAGAATAGCTTAATACGTTGAAGGTAAAGCTGTTTTTAGTGGTGCATCTTAGTGAACAATCACAGCATGCATGGGTAAGCTGTCCTCTGACGCAAATTAAACGAAAATGGGGAAAAAGAAAAATCCAAGTCAAACAAAACAACCACTGTACATATTTACAAATTATTGCCTTAACAGGGAATTAAAAGAAATCTTTGTCTCAACACAAATTCACGAGGTCAAATACTCAACTTTTCAAAAGACTACCCAGTGATTATGTACATTAGTAACTTAGTGACCCATTCTGCAATAGAACCTTTGTTATGGTGAGCAATGCATTGGTCTCAAATACTCCACCATAGAAATAGAATTACTAGAATGGCACCATTAAGGGGAAATGACTACATATATTTTCTCTTCAAGGGGGGGGCGGTCAACCAGAACAGGTGACATTAACAAATGAAAAGATGGCAGTGAACACCAAATATTAGACATTCTTCCACACTGGCAAGTCTATTGAACCTTTTAGTTAAGAAAATCAAAGAAAATTTTTCACCATTTCAGTAATTCTATGTCTATCCACTCCATTGTCCAACATTCAGAATTCAAATACCCCTGAAAGGGCTGCTCCAACCCTACAGTCAACCTCAAAATGCATAGATAAATTAACACTCATACTGCATTCATATAACTGGTAATGATTCCTAAGTAACCTGTTGGTTTGCAAACTGAAGACAGTGACAGAACTCAAAACCTCACAATCCAACAGCCTTCAACTGGAATGAATGGGAATCCCTGACAAGTAATGACAAATAAATAAGACAGTAATTTGGATAGCGTGACGGAAGGGAGATGCTGGCAAGCAAGACCCACCTTCCAAAGTGTGTACTTAGGCTTTTCTGTGAAGTTGTACTATTAACATTAAGTATCTCCCCCCCAACAATTCACCATAACAAGCTTACTAAACCAAGGATGTACATGCACTGATCAACTTACATAAACAGCACTAAAGTCAGTAAAAATATTCTTATACATCACAAACTAGAAGTTAAAATGTGCCAATATTTTTAGCAATGTTTCACTGTACAGTTGCCGGGGGGGAGCAATTTGAACACAGAACACTAAGGCTAAAGCTGTGGGGACCGTGGTGCAGCCCATAATACTCTGCAATAAATAAATATCCGCCTTTTGACTACCTCTAAACCACACATTTTCATACAGCAAAACCTTTGATTTTTCTCCCCGCCCTCTCAAAATAAAAAGTCTCAAAGAGTTTCAGCCATCAAGAAAATGCATCAAAATACCATAACCAGCAATAAATAGAGTGACTGAATTACACGCTTGGAGTGAGCTGTTCTCACACATCGCTGGTTTGCCTTTCCTCAGAGTGACATGTGCCAATAGAGGCTCCTTAAGGTCTCCCCCCCCCATACAAGTCAAATGTGAACCACGGGTGGTGGGGGGGCAGGCTTCACAATGAATAGGCACTGAGGCCGTCGTATAGACGCTCCTTCGGTACCGTGTGCAACAAGGAGGCAAAGTGGTGTATCTGCAATCACAGCCTGACAGACTGACCAGGGCAGTGGGATACAAAGAGATTAAATGTTGCTATTGTGGGCAACCTTCCACTTCCCAAAAGACAACCTAACTTAGGGGATAAAAGGCAAGATTCACCAATACGATCCAGCTCCCGTTCACAACTACTACAGCTATGACACACTGTATTTCAGCTCCTAACGCAGTGCTGCCCAGCTGTCCTTGAGTGCCCTCTGGCCATCCCACATGGTAGCTGTATCTATAACTAATCGCAGGCATGGAGATGATAAATCAGGCCACCCATACACACATGTGGAATGACTAGGGTTTCCCTAAGGAGAGGTTTGGCACTTTTGCTCTGAGGAACAACAGAACCAGGTGTAAGACAAACAGAACAATGTTATTCTCTTTGATCAAGAGAGTAAAAAAAAAAAAAAGAGATGCAAGTCGACCAGATAGTTGATTTTTCCCCATTCCGCCTCATTTAAAACAAATTGTGTCAGAGATTTATATATATGTGTGTGTGTGTGTGTGTGTGTGTTTGTGTGTGTGGAAATCAAAATGTCTAATTTACAGCCAACTCAAACAGGATCTGGCAGTGAGGTAAATGTCCACTGTGGCGTGGAATCGCCAGATTCAAATCCCTTGGAACCTGTAGCCTTTTCTTTCTGTAGTCCACTCAGGAGACCGAAGGGAAGAAAAAGAACAACAACAAAAACTAACTCCCAGACTAATAAACAGAAGTGCTTCTCAATTTGCAGAAAGTTCTTGCACTAAATGCGTGCCGTTTTGGGGAGTGAGGCCAGAGCAGCATGCAGTGGGCACTGCGTTGAAGGGGCCTGGCCATTCTTGGTACCGCCAAGTACTGATATTCCAAAGTACCAAAAAACAAAACAAAAAGAAAAAAAACCCAACATGAAAAGCTGTTTCTGGCAGTCAATCTGGAGATCCTTGCCATTTGTTAACTGGACGACAGTAAGGTACTTAAAGGCTTGTCTGAACCAGAAAGAGGACATACATGCACAAACCCTGCATTCAGGTCCCAAAGTATATGGACAGAGATATGGTACTTCCAAATTGAGGACTGGAAAAACAAATGAAGGAAAAACAAATGAAAATAAATGGCTATTTCAACTCTTGAGAAATCAAGATTTTAGTTCTATACGATAAAAGACATCACTGATGTCATAGTAAAAAAAAAAGGAAAAGAAAACACAAATATATTTATATATATTTATATATAATAAAAAAAATTCCAGTGAATGAGAATATATACACATTTGACGGAGGCTCCGTCAAACAGGAGGTTGGTCCGGCATGAGGCCCCCTACTCTGACTGCAGGGCCGCAGGCTGTGTGTGCAGTGAGTGCGGACTAATGAAGCCATTGGTGTCGCCGGAGGACAGGCCCCCGAAGTCTGTGACGGAAACGGCCATCTTGGCACTGGTGATGCGGTGCGTGCGGCCCTCAAAGCCGACGCCCAGCTCTCCCACCGACACCTCGCCCACCAGGGGTTCCGCGAGACCCATCTTCAGCCTTTTGGAGGGCCGCTCGCAGTCTTTGCCGCACACGTTGAGCGGGCCGAGCTCGGAGTGGTAGAAGCCAGTGTCCAGCATGTTCAGGCACTCTGCGTCGCCGTTGGCGCCGAAACCCAAGGGCTCACTGTGGCCCAGGCTGCTGCGGTGGAGGTTTTCCAGAGGGGGGAAGCTGAAGGACTCCAGGCAGGCCCCGTCCGCAGGGTTACACACAGTCGCCACACTGTTGGTCAGTGCTGATGGACAGAAATGGTCACGGTCAGCACCGATCGCTCACAGAGGCAATGCTTTCAAGCGTTATCCATTATAGATACCATTGGCGGCATAGCTCCTTACAGAACACTGGACTTATAATCCTGTCATTCATTATGGATGCGGTTTACTGTATTCCAGATGATAGCCAGCCATTTATTAATGTGCCTCACTGCGTAGGCTCACTGCGTAGGCTCACTGCACAGCTTATCACACAACTATCACATGGGGCCACAAGGCAATTGAAATAAATGCGACATCCACTACATTCTAAACGAGAGAATCAGCTACGTCACAGCCGGGGGGTCAACAGCCTTTCAATTGCTATCTTTTGGCTTGACATTTATTAGAAGAAACTTTAATTTTTTTATTTTTTATTTTTTTTAATTATAGAACTATTTTAGCAAATCAATTCATATCGTGTATGTTGTTAAAAGGGTAGAAGTTGGCAACAAATCCAAATTCTTCCAAATTGATTTTCTTAGGTTACAAATACAAATAAAAGACCATAAGACACTTACTTTGGCCACACTAGAGCACTGAAATGTGGTAGTTTGAGCCCAAAGTGTAAAGGCAGCATACCTGTGAGGTCACTAGCAGTGATGGAATTGAGGAGGCTAAGCTGCTGCTCCGTTGGAGGCTCCAAGCGTCCACCACCAGCACACACGGAGGGAGAGCTGTCCATGGCCAGGCCCTCTGCCTCGTCAACCAGTCGGTCCATCAGGTCACTACAGGGCCACAGTACAGAAAAGGAAGCCGATCAGCCATCAACACCAAAGATGCTTCATCGGGGGCAGACTTGCAGAAAGTCTGTCTATAGGGGTATAAATAGCTGATTCCCAGGCGATTTGATTACAATAATTGAAGGAACAATTTCATGCATTGGAAACCTTTCATTTCTATCACGATTCAATCCAATTAATCAATTATTATAATAACCTAAATTCAAAGCTTTAACTTCACTGAAAAAGAATTCACAAATATTACCATGAAAACTTAACTGCAAACTATTAACCATATACAAAAGCAGAATCTTACAACATAAATTTTGCTATGGACCCATGCGACTCTGAACAGGACAAGCAGGTATAGAAAATGGAAGAATGTTATTATCAAAGAGAGAACAAGCCAGTATAAATTGTCAAAAGGCCAACTACTGAACTGTATTGACAAGAGAAGGAAAAAAAAAAAAGGGGCAGATTAGTAGAACGATGATACATAGTTTTTTTTAATACTGAGGAAAACGAAAGATCAAATCTGCCAGTCAGATTTAATAATGGATTATAACCAGGTCGCGGGTCAATACTTTAAGGCTTTTTCTAAGTGGAGAACGAGCCGATGAATTCCTCAGTCTCCACTACGAAAAATGGCTGATCATTCAATAAAATCATCTCCATTATTTTGGTGGTTGTTCCTTTAGCTCTGATGCTGCTAACTTTGAATCCTGGTTAAGGTTTAGAAGTCAGCTGGCAATAGCGACCAAGATTGGCACATCAAACCAATGGTGATATCTTAACGTACATGCATTTCCAAGGCTAACAATACTTTTTACTTAACTAGCTACCTACCTCAGGATCTTGACCACTGCCTCCTCACTTTATCGCACTACGAAACAGGCGTTTTCCAAAGGCATCATAGTGCAAAGATTACCTTACCTATTAAATGTGAGCATTCTTCAATACAACAGTGGTGAATTTCCCAAAAGCCAAAAACACCATAATGCAAATGTCACCACCATAGTAAACAGATCTTCACGTGGTGCTTCCTTTATGAATATTAATGAGCCTTAACCCACCTACATTTAGGAAATTCCCACGTGGGCAGTGCTACCTGCAACATTAACGCTAGAGCGTACAACCCTGATATAGGAGTATCTTTACGTCCAAAAATCGATTCTGACGTTAAAGATGGATGCACTGAATTGCCACCTTAATCGATACATCACGATGCATCTTTACACCCCTACTTTCTAGAAAGTTCCATCACAGGACTGCCAGGCAACTTCAGCAGAGAATCCATTTGTCTAGCTCCAAAACCATGACCAGAGGTATGAGATTCTCTGATGAGTTCAGTCCAAAAACATACGGTTCTGACTGATATGGAGCAAACCTAGTAAAACCAGAGAGCTTGGATAAAATTACAGGCCTGATGATCACTGACCATTTGTGTTAAATGAGGTTACAGAAGAGAGTCACTTACGTTACTCCTGGATAGCTGCTGTACTTTTTCTTCCCAAATCGGTTCTGTTGTACAAAGTAGTCAAAGCGTTCAGACTTCTTCCATATGTAGTAGAACGCTACACATTCAGCCACTGTCCTTGTTTTCACCTTAAAAATAAAGACATGCAATGAAAAATAAACGATTTGTCCATATGACGCAACATCCCCGCAGTTAAACAAGACAGATGGTTTACCTTGTGTTTCTGTATGAGGTGAAAGTTCTTATCATATATCTGAAGAGCATGTTCAAAGTTTCTGCATTCTTCTTCAGACCATGGTAGTCCATCTAAAACAACGACGAAAAAAAAAAAAAGATCATATTCCTCCACCACCGTGAGAAGTATTGTTTTGGGTTTGGTTCCCTCATGAGGTCTCACTCACCCTTTGAAGGTTTCGCATTGTTTCGGTGCCGTTTAAGTGCTTCGTGGGTATTGTAGTCGCACTTCAAAAGCTCATACAATGCCTGAATTAAAGCAAAGTATCGAGTTACTTTAACAATTCTTATCATTATTACAGCAAGCCTACATGACACCTGGGCAAAAGCTGACCTGCAGAGCTATTTTACTAATCATTAAAAAAAGTCAATGTTTTATGTTCAAGTCTACGGAGAGATAAGCAGTTTTTTGCCCAAAACGTTGTCATTCAATAATAAGCAAAGGAAGACCTAACAAATAAAGATCAGGGAAAAAAATGCCCGATGCTGACATGGTGAAGCTCAGATTTGCCCCTCCATAGAAAATAATAGCCCAGGCCTAGTCTAGATCTAATACTACAACCACTTGGTTAGAAGAGGAAGTCCATAAGAGTTACATTATCTAATGCCTTGTTTGGATTCAGTCAGTTTTAATCGTTCTATCACTTTGTTCGTGCCACAACCAATACTTTAAATATTTCAAATCAGTCCTGCTACAATGAGAGTAACGTGTTCCTGAAAACCTCACGTTCAGTACCATCACGTACTAAAATACACATATCCTGTGGGGAAAAATAGATTTACAGGAATGCCACTCCAGAAATAGCTTATGTCAAACAAAATGAATCAAATACAAGCAGTGATACCAGAGGCCAATAATGTAATTACATGCATTTTAAATAAGAAATAGCACATTAATAAATGTCATAAACATCTTCTATGGGTCTTAAGAGTTTCACAAGAATTGCTTAGTGCTTCAACCGAACGTGCTGAGCTCTCTGAACTTGTGAATTGCTCAGATTCGGGCATAGTTAGCCGCAGCCACCATGCGGCCGGGCATGGATTCAGCGCAAACGCAATAGATTATGGTATGCAGAGGGGCACCATGTGGCCGGGCATACACACAGCACAAATGCAATAGATTACGGTACGCAGAGGGGCACCATGCAGCCGGGCATGCACACAGCGCTAATGTAATAGATTACGGTATGCGGAGGGGCACCATGCGGCCGGGCATGGACGCAGCGGAAATACAACAGATTACGATATGCGGAGGGGCACCATGCAGCCGGGCATGCACACAGCACAAATACAATAGATTACGGTATGCAGAGGGGCACCATGCAGCCGGGCATGGACGCAGCGCAAATACAATAGATTACGGTATGCAGAGGGGCACCATGCAGCCGGGCATGGACGCAGCGCAAATACAATAGACTACGGTATGCGGAGGGGCATCATGTGGCTGGGCATGCACACAGCGCAAATACAATAGACTACGGTATGCAGAGGGGCACCATGCAGCCGGGCATGGACGCAGCGCAAATACAATAGATTACGGTATGCGGAGGGGCACTGAAGGCAAGATGGCTACAGACAGTCTACATTAGGTTGCTGGGTGTTTTTATATGATAACTTATCAAATATTGTTTTAGATATTTAGAATCTAAGACTGACCTGTGCAATGCGCAGATGTACAAAAAAAGATTTAGAATTGAAAACCAGTTTGACTGATTCACTAAAAAAACAATTTGTTCATGAATCGCATAGTATTCACATAGTATTTTTCTCTCTGACTGAAAATTGTGCAAGTACAAACACGACTGCCGGTTGTATTGGACTCGGATACTAATGAATCAATCGCATTACAACAATTTTGTGGAGACAGTCAGCAAACTGACTGTACTTCAAAACACATAAGAAATCCGTTCTGGCTTTTTTTGTGAAATGCAAGATATCAGAGACGGCCCAAGCACAATGTCACACTCAGCCAAGGTCTCCTGCTCTACCTGCTCATTGTCTCGAATGCAGACCCCTTCTCCGACAGCTCCAGTCTTTCCATCCGTTACCCGACAGCCTGCTTCGCGCAGAAAATCTCGAACTCTGCTCTCCGGCAAAACTCCCGGACTCCACAGTAACTGGTCCTCGCCCTCGTACGCTGCAGTGGGGCAAACGGCACCAAAGTAAACTCTTTACCTGGGTCCAGCTTCCTTTTTATGTAACATCTTTCATGCCATTAATGTGCTATGATGATCTTTCCCCCTTTGTACACAACTGGCAATAAATTAAAGCCAAGGGGAGGGACCAACCTTTCTCATCTTCATCATAACTGCAGAGGCGTGACGGCACCTCAGCCTGGTACTGAGATCCAACCATTATCTCCTTCAAAATCAGGGCAAAACAAATAAGGAAATCAATAAAACTATTACACGTCTGACTGCAGGTTTTCACTCAATGACAGCGGGATTATACTGTAAGACTTGCCTTTTTCGAGTCTTCTGGACTCGTACCATCCTCCTCTCCTTCTGATTCTTTGTCCCCATCGTAAATGGTGTTAGCTGAAGACAACATATTAAATGACATTTCATAATGAAATACTATACTATACAAGGCAAATGGGCTATATGAACCCTTTCCAACTCAAGTAAACAATCAGCACTGGGGAAGCATGTAAAGGACGCTGAAGCCCTTTCTGCAAAGATTAAGAACTGTTTTGATTTCATACTGAGAATGATCGCCTCACCTGTGCTAAACGACACAAAATTAGATGGTGGCACACATGGTGGAGAATACAAAAAAAATAACATTTACACATGCTACTAAAAATTTAGTTCCATCATAGCCAGACCACACGTGATTATTACGGTTCGTGCACCCAGCCACGAAAATCTGACAGGTCTTACATCTGAGGCTCCTTGGGAAGAAATCTGTCGCCTCATGGGATGTTACTGATGGGGTGAGATCATCAGCTGATGACTGAGTCTCTTCTTCATAGTCCCCTGAAAGGAGGTCTTTTGCAATCTCCTCCTGTTGAGGAGTAAAACAATAACTGTAACACTTCGACGCATAAGTAAAAGTACAAAAAGTTTAAAATATTATAATAAAGGAGAAAAAAACACCAGATTCAACACACACAGCAGTTAATGTGAATGACTGAGTAATGCTATTAACTCAATTAGGAAGAAATTATACAAAGTGGCTGTTGTCCCAATGGAAGCCCAGTCATATCAATCATTGGCCAATGCACGTCTAGTGTTGACAGAGATAGAGGAGTCAACCAAGAACTGAACATAAAGACTCTGATCAGTGTAGTCATGAACCTGTACCAGCCACCTTATTTAAAATTAGGCAATTTTCAGCTATTCTGTTTACGATAATTTTACTGGAAACACCTCTGACATTCTCTTTTAAAAGACAGCAGTTTTTTCAGTGTGACTACAATGAAAGCTCTTGGTTCAGAAACACAGTGGCAGCATGGCCCTCACCTTGTCTAATGTCATATCAGGCAGCTCATCTGTCAGTTCACCAGAGGAGCTGTCCATGCTCGAACCCGCAGCCGTGCTGACTGATGCCTCATAACGGTAAATGGCCAGCAGCTCCTCCAAGGGCATGCTGCCCTCCTAGTAAGACAACAGGAATTTGTAAAAATAAAAATAACAACCAAGAGTCTCTAACTAAAAATTTTAATAATACAAAAAGACCTAACAGGCATTGAAACTCATACAGGTAATAATGTATCTCACAGAAAAATCAAAAAGGGAGTTGAGAAACTTAAAACAAAATGACTTTTAATCAGTACTCCACGTTATATATATAAAAAAAAAACCGACAAAAGATTAAAAAAAAAAAAAAACACAATACCTTCTCCAAATCCGCCAACTCTGCTCGAAAATTCCTCTCTCCATCCTGCAACTCCTCCTCCTCTAAAGTACGCTCGTCGTCGAAATCGTGGACCAACATTTCTGCCGTTGGATCAAAATCATGGTCTTCCGAAGACAAAGAGCCTGAAGCAACATAAACACCCACATTATTAAAGTCAATACAAGTTACCACCAGACATCATCAATTTATATCACTTCACGTCAGCCCGGATAATCGTGCCCCTCCTATCTGGCATACGCCTATAACAGTCATCCAACTAGGTTAGTTGATATTTTATTTAAACTCATTTTAAGTCAAACTAATAAGAAGATTTTTTTACGATTTCACAGAGATTAATGGAAATGCATCAACGGATTATACCAGGAAACTATCTCCAAATTTAACGGGAAGGCAAAATGAAACTCACCTGGGCTTGAACTTCCAAAGGAAGCCTACAAAGCGAAATAAAAGGCAAACATTAGTATGAAAAACATTTGCAGCAACGTCCATCCTGCTACTTCACTCGGGGACATTTTCGATAATACAGCTATTGAAATACAAGTAAGAAAACGCAGGTATCAGGCAGCGCTGTCAATCCATCAGTAGCAGGAATAATAAATAAATAAATGCACGTCTGCGTCCCGTTTTTCCGCTACCTGGGAGTCTTTTCTACACAGCCTTGTGCATCGCTCCTCGACAGGAACGAAACAAAAGCATAATTGCACTTTAATTCACCATCATAAAATAATTAGCGATGCAAAACATATACATATATTTTTTCGCCTTAACCGGCCAGCCTTACTGTCACTGCGCTTCGCAATTAATCTAATAAACCAAAGCCCGAGGAAAAAAAAAAGATTCTCATCAACTACATCGCAATCTCACTGGTGTATTTAAAAACCACCTTCGAAAGTTATGTATCGGAGAAAATGCATCGCCCGATCGGCCAAAGAAACGCGTATATTTAGTGAGCTAGCTAGTCGTTTCACCGCCGCTCGGTTTACGAAACATTCTTACAGTCTGCGTTAGACTGGAACGCAGGGGCCTAGTCCCGTAGGATCCCGCTTCACATTCAAACATTTTCATATGCCTAGTCGGGCCGATTTACCCCCAGAAACCGATGCATCGCCAAAATAAACCTTACTTAACACAATCGAATGGATATAAGCGGAGAATGTCGGCCACGGGGCTAAAAATCAGACGTTTAAAATCTGATGCTTCTTCCCTATTTTCCTTCTTACCTCCGCCATATTGGTACCTTTAGGCTAATAAACTGGCTCGCGCCCGGTACCCGGATCAGCTCGGCCGGCCAATCGGAGGCCGCGATTACGTCTTTCGCCGTAACTTTCAAACTGCTGCTCGGGAAAGTCGCCGGACTGGGCAGAATCTCTGAAGTGGCGCTCAAAAGTTACTGTCCGCTTACCTTTAATTACCCCATTTCATGTCCCTTCATATGCTTGCAGCACAATAGAATCGGGTTACTAATTTTTGTATTTTTAACATGCAATTCTGTAATTAAGTCAAAACCACATCCGTCGTATTTTAACGAAGATTTTTCTACTAATGTCATCTCTGAAAGGAGACTGACATCCGTATTATTGTTCTTGGGAAAAAATATTAAACCAAAAAGCAATGTTAGGGGAAAAAGGGGGAAGCTGCCTTTTAAAAAGTAATGGTAATTACAGAAGTCGTAGTTACTGAACACATACCTCAAACGATTAGAATACAATAGTAGCAGTTATTTTCAGCAATGCATTTTTTTTACTGCAACTGATGCTACTAATAGCAATGCAATTGCAGTGTTGTACTACATTAAATGCAGTACTATTAGTAGTAGATGAAGCACTAGCATATAGTGGTATGTGCAGTAGCAATGCTATATGTTGGCTGGCAGCGTGGCTTGGTGGACAGCATTGCTACACACCTCCAGTGACAGGGGTTTGAGTCCTGCTCCTGCTGTCCATTTGTGGAGATCCCCTGTTGATCTGCGGGTTTCCTTATGCAATTACAGTGCCCTCCACAATTATTGGCACCCCTTGTAAAGATTTGTAAAAAGGCTTAGAAAAAAATCCACCTTTTGGTGAAGCAGCTTCATGTCACACTGAAAAATTCAGAAAAATCCAGCCTTTCATTAACATAAATTTATTCCAAGAAAGGAAATCCTTCATCATTAGATGAATTCCATGCATGATTTGTCTTTTGTGTATATGTGAGTGTCCTGTTTTGGTCTGGTGCCCTATCTAGGGTGTTTCTGTGTTGTCTGGGATAGGCTCCCGGTCCCCCGTGACCCTGTACTGGGTAAGTGATTGGAAAATGGATGGGTGTAACTGAGGTTGTCATAATAGTGATTGTAGTTGTTCAAATAGGTAGAAATTATACTATTCTTGAGGTTTTAAGCTTTAGAATAATGAGCTCTACGTCTATGATGTAAATAGTGGCATTTTTTCACAAAGTATGAAGGATTTCTTCCATCTCTAAAATGTGTGATGTTCAGAACACTTTTTTAAGCAATGCATTCCTAAGTTAATACACTTTAGATACAAAGTAGTGCACAGTGTGCACATTCCAAAATTGTGATTTTTTTTTTTTTTTTGTCCTCTCAGCTCAGCAACTCTCATTTTTATTTTCCGCGCCTGTTCTCCTCTGAGCAGCCCACCTGGGCCTCCTACCAACGTGATCAGGCACCACAAACTAAAATGAACTCACACCACTCCCCAGATCTTCACCATCCTCCAAGATCTGTCCACTGCTTAAGCAACTGTTGCAGTTATATTTTACCTCTAAAACTGCTCTCTCTTCCTCTGACCCACCTCTGCAAAGGAGGTGTGCATAGGAGCCTCATGCATGGTGAGGAGGCTCTGATCGTCCCACTGTGCTCATGATATTTCCTCCTGCTACCACTCTGTATCAGTGTCCTGCAACATCTGTAGCCCCACAGAATTCTTCCATTGGTGCGTTACAGGAATCTTGTCAGCACTGCTTTTACTGCAGCCTCCTGCACATACTGTATATATCCCTCACAAAGTCCTAAATTGATTATTACAAAGCCTAACCAATTACATACCACTGTTATTTTTTATTGGATATCAGGCTGTGTTCTCAGAATCCCATCCCAATTCCAAGAAGATTCATAATGTGCTGCCGTTTCATCCAGATTCATTTTGATGTTTATCATCTGGCCGTGAGTGATTTAATTCACGTATTTATACATAATAGTAATTTATTTCGATTTTTAGGTACCAAGCCTGAAGATGAGGTCAGTTTTTCTTTTCTGTTGACGGAGTGTTTCTGGGAATGCCATCAAGAATGTGTCCATTGGCATTAAAATGTTCATCTGTATGAAAAGAAAAGTCCCCTCTCCTAATGTTATGAAGGCTGAGCACAAGCCACCTCTCAGCTTTGCTAAGCTAGAGTGGGTTGCGGCTGCAAGACATGAAATAAACAACTTTTGTAAAGATTCATGAATGAATTCTTTAATATTTCACTTGATACATTTGTGGATTCCCCACAACCTTAGTTTTCATATATCGATTTGGATCATACTATACATCTGCATATGTGTGTAAAGAATCGGTGCAGCAGCCCTAAAATTGCTAGATCTTCCTGGAGGATATTAAATGTCATCTGCACAACCTCTATACTTGTAGAATGGTATGGTAGGACCAGTAATATCCTTATTCATTTGCTGTTTACTGCATCACTTGAGTATCTGTCTACTCAACGTTTAAGAATGTAAATGTAAGATATGGAAAATTTGAGAAAGATATGCAATACTCTATGTATAATCTTAGATTAGGGGAAACCATGGAAATTAACAAATAAATACATAATTTGGTTGAGGCTGTCTAGTGGAAACACCAAAAATTTATTCACCAGTGTTACTGTGTGGAATAATACCCAGTACCTGAGGGGCAGTGATGGCTTAATGGTTATGGAAGCGCATTTGTAATTGAAAGATTGCATGTTTGAATCCCTGACCAGCAAGGCACCACTGAGATACTCTGAGCAAGGTACCACCCCCAAGCACTGTTCCCTGGGTGCTGAATTAACTGCCCCCTGCTATATCCCAAAGTCACATATGGGTTAAATGCAGGGACACATTTCACTGTTGTGGTGTGTCAGCAATGACCACTGATCACCTAATTCTAAATGCATTTAGCTACTCTGTGGTGGTTTGTAATTTTACTTATAGATTTTTTCAGTATCAGGTGAGTTTAGATTTGAAAAGAAGCAAAACCTTGAATAAGTAGAAAAGTACTTATGTAGAGAAAAACAGAAAATACCTCCATTTGTAAATGCACAAATTAAAAGATTATTGTTGTGAGATCAAATTTGAAAAAATTTTGAAACCACAAGGGGGCGTGAGATGACTGTAGAATGTTCTGCGTTAGACTCATAACAGATTTTTAAATTGAACAGCATCTGTTATTTTGTTCTTAGTTCATACTTATTTTGTGTTATTTTGTACTTAAAATGTAAATGTTTTATTGTGAATTTTAGAATTTTTACACAAATAAATGTTAAATTTGTATGATATTATAGGTTACGTAAATAACGGATATCTGTCAGGTATTAATATGATCCTGTTATCATTCCTCATGCGAAATGGAGAAGGTGAGTAAGGAATGAATCCTGAGGCAGCATGATGACTATTTCTATTATATATTCAACTTCCACTCCTTTTTTCCATGTTTTTCAGTTACATCGAGTAATTTGAAAGCTATAGCTAAATACAAACTCTGACTGCTTATAAGACCGCGGTCTGGTCTGTAATAACAAATTACCCACAATCCATTGCCAGTCAAATTCCACTTTCCACCTCAAATGCAAATAAAGCAGCATGAAACAAGGTGCAAAAATACAAGCAACCACAGGTGAAGCAAGGAAGATGCTAGTGACTCAGGCCTTACATAGGGCAGGTGGGGTTGTAAGGAGACAGTAGCATCAGGTGGAGAAGATGGATAGGATGCGTACTTGCTGTAGATAGCATTAAAATGACCATAAATCGATTGTAAACAAAGACGTATGTGCTGTTCCAAACTCTCACTGGGGAACGCATTCATTTAAAAAAGAAACTAAAATGCTGGTCAGCTAATCTTGCTGTGTAACATTTAATGTTTTTTATTGTAACATTCTCTAACAGTTTTTAGCCTTTTTGTAATAAAAATGCTTTTACTCAATAGTGATTTAACTGACTGTAGTCTTAAACAACCCCAGGTGTCCTTAAAATAACATATGTTAACATGCGGCATCACAAAATCTGGTAATTTGACATTTATCTTAACTGTGTTTTTGTTTACCAGAGCTGTTTGCCGTTGCTTACTTTACCCCCACGCGAAATTCTGAGGTAAACTTGCACATCATTCGCTTTCCTTCTCCTCCAGCAAACACACGGGCCACATCAGACCCCTGCACACTGCTGCAGCTGTTTGAGTCGGGTCGGGCTTCTGAGCTCCCCATCTGGAACGGGCCTCTGTGTTGATGAGCTGAATCTGGGCCCATCGCCACCATGTAAACAGGGAAGTAGGATTAGGCACGTGCCAACCAGCAGGTCAAATGAGGCAGACACGTGCAAAGAGCTCCCCCCATTTGAGCACCTGCCCCTCGAAAAAGCCTGTGCACATCGTTGGTAGGAACAAAACCCTGAAAGCACGTGAAATGAGATTTATTGTGAAAAGGTAGTCCGTGAATTCTGCTCGTATGTAAATGAATAACCTAATATGGTCGGTGTGGTTCTGGTGCTTTTGTCACAAAACGTTTGCTCTCTGTGGGAGTATTTAGCACCATCCAACTTCTAACCGGCTTAACCTGGAGCCTGTCCCAGGCATCGTAGGACACACAGCTGCGGTAGACTCTGGACAGCATGCCAGTCCATCACAGGGCACTCGCTACAGGCAAATGCGAGATGCCCATTAGCCTTAGGCTTTGTTCAGCTGGCAGGAACCCACACGACATGGGGAGAACAATGCAAATACCGCACATACAGAGCAGAGGTGGGATTCGAGGTGTGGGGGAATAGGGCTAACCACTGTGCTGCCTGTCTATAAAAAAAAACGCAAATAGTGTTTCCAACTTTAGTCTTTAGCCTGGCTGTGAATC